TCCTGTAGTTGCTAATTATGAGTTATTTATGGTAACGACTACAACGGCAGGCTGAGTGATGTGTGATGTTACCGTTAAAATGTTGATGCTCAATATAAAATATTTTATTACACTCTATAAATTGTACCGAAATATCCAACATTCTCTACATGTGTTTAATTTTCCGCGTACATTAATTGCACAGAAATTAATACTTTTATTTAAACTCAGTTTTATATTTGAAATTTCCACCTCCGTTATGCGTACAGCTCGCGAATCCAAATGTAAGTAATTTTTCAATGTGAATGCCAGAATCTTTAAGCAGTTGGTTGTAGTATAGACTTCGTTTATAACAAGAGACATCATGTGGTCTGAACATCCTTTCTCTGCTCAATTATGCAACGTGCTTCCTGCATGCAAATCGAAACATTTCTCTTCAGTCACTTTGTTGCCGACTGATTTTATTCACAGTGTAGCCTAGATAAACCTTTTGATGTCCAACGGACCTAGAGCGTGCATCCAACGCAAGCATTAATTGGTAGGATGGAGTTTAGAAGCAGCAACAGTACCGGTATTATTCTTATACATTGTGATTCGCGGAAACTCCCTGATTTGAAAGATCAATATAAAATAATTGGTAGAGATATCAGTACAATATGAATTGTACTGAAAGATACATTACCTTAATTTTTGTATAACTTAGTTTTAAAGATGACATTGGACGAATGACGGCCTCCATTGTCATTATATTCAGTTCCGATTTTTGAAGTTCCGTTCAACTCGCTGTATCATAATGCCGGGTATGTTGACGATGGCTAGGCGTATGTTGGTCTTCAAATGAGGTAGGGTCCTAGGAAGGTCATTGTAAACAATTGATTTATGATAACCCCATAACAAATCACACGGAACCAAATTGGAGGGATCCCCTCTAACCTCATGGCGATGGGCGCTCTGCAAAATGTTGTCCCAGATGATACATTAAACATCGCGCTGTGTGGGCCGTGGCTCCATCCTGTTGGAATCAGACATCCCTGTGTTCACCATTCATGTGTTCACCCACGAAACAATCGGTTTTCGGTGTCCGATCAGGATTCAGACCTGAAGGACGAATACGGAACCGAGTACAGAATGCTCGTTGATTAGCAAGAATAGAACAGCCATTAGAGAAGTATGGGTCGACAGCAAACGCTTGCTGTTCACTTGTCCATTGCATAATGTCAACTAAATAGGCAATACAGAAAACTTCATGACCTTGCCTTTCATATGCAAAACTCATCGCTTTTTTCTTTAACATCTGGCTGCTGAGCGTGGAATACAAAACAGGAAGTTTCCGTGAATTTCTCCGAATATCACCAAAGCGATTATTTTTTCATGCTAGATCAAACAATTTTAAACCCTCCGACGGTTTTAAATTTTCAAGTTTATATTGCGTAGCTTAGTTCATGGAAGCCTGAAAGATTGTCCTGTTGTTAATTTAAGTCTTCACTCTCCAAAATCTGAACACTTGTAAGCTAATACAGCTCATCGTCTCTTCCACGTCAAACCATGACTCAGGTTAATTTGTTACAGGCACCATTTCTGACTGAAATATTCGTCTCATGCAAGCCGAAAGGACCGATTTAATTTAATTTTATATTGTTGCAAACAATGGTCCAATCATGACTAGGTAGAATTACCCGTTCTGAACCAGATGCTTTCATGAGAACTTTTCGCAAAAAGTTTTGTTCTTAGGAAGGAATCGCTTGCAAAGTCATGGCAAGGCGAGAGGGCGGCTTGCAGTCGAGAGGAAGCGGAGTAGTTCTCGTAGTGGACTAGTTCTTGTAACGGACTAGTTCTTTTCGCGAACTAGTTCTTGTGCAGCTTGCGCCACAAGACGCACTGCGGTCATGATTACGTCAGCACAACAAGCCACCACTTCGAGCCTATCAACAATAAGCCTGTAATCGCTCCATTAAATATAATATTTTCGGGAGCAATACTTTTACGAATGGAATAGCTCATGGGATTTGTCGCTTAGATTATTTGCTCCCTACTAAATTTAGCCCTATAGTAATTATCAATTATTGTTAACCCAATCGAAAATATATAAATTTATTTCCTTAAAAAATATATTTCCACATATATATTATTTTGATACTGATTGAAGTTCTTTATAATATCCATTACGACGAAATGAAGTTATCGAATCAAAAAATTTGTCTACACAACATATACACAACGCGGGAAAGTTGTACGACTTTGTGGGTCTTTTGCAGGGCTGAACGCATGACTTGAGGTTTCCTTTAGTGACTGTCATGTTCGGGCGTCCATCACTCTGCCCTTGTGGTAAATTTATTTATTTTAATTTAACGCTCGATCACGACGAAATTTCAGTTCAATTAAGCGAGTATGAATTTCACAACTTATAGTTTTTGAATTAAATGAGTTCAGTTTGCGCAAACGAACATGAGCACATCCATTGATTAATTAATTTAATTTCAATGCAACTGACGAATCCCAGCTTACAGGTCTACAATGCAATGCAAATTCTCCCTCCAATACGTCTAAATTTAACTAGGGCTATTTTAAATTAAATTAAAGTTAATAATCACTAAACATTATAATTATCTAAAGCTCTTTCGCAGGTCCATCCCAAATTTTAGGTGATTGAAAATAAAATTTTTGTAAGCAGGTGTTTCTTAATGAATAAACAATTTTGAGTTTGCAAGTTTTCAAAAAATTCGGACGGGTTGAAAACAGAACAGTCACTGGTGCGTAGATAATGAATGCCTCGCGTATCACTCCTTCCTTTTGCTAGACCAAATTCTTGTCGATTTTAGCAACGCTCAGACGCGCGCTCTCCTTGTCAAGCGGGAACAAACTTAGGTTTACGGAGGCAGTTTCATGGTCATGCAGGATGAAACTGAAATTTCATTACTGCTACACATTTTATCAAGGGCTGTTTTAATTCCACATGAAAATGTTTTACATTTCATTCATGGTTCCTGCAGGTAATGAAATTTCGATATTTTCTGTAAAATGTAAGATTTGAAGAACATTTGTGATTTTAGCATGCAAGTGCTCACTCTCATGCTTACCAAGAAACATTATATTTGCTGGTACAATTTGTTTTACATAGAGAAATATAATTATCTCTTTTGGATAGAAGAGAAATGTTGTTGAGCATTAACATAATCTACCTTTATGTCATAATACTAAGCATATTTTGAATAGCGACATTTAGCTCCATCTTTATTGCCCATGTTACATGAAAGTTTTTACTGAAACGCTAAAACTGTCATGTGCACTGGACAAACTCCCATCGATCTCTTTCGCACATTTTGACAATTTTTAGGTTTCCGTGATTGGTGATATATTGAGAAGCAAAGGACACTGCGCATGAAAATTAAAACAATATAGAGCTTTTCAATGGGCTTCCTTAAATGTTCTCGCATGATTTTCATTTCATTATATTTGTTATCTTAGTCACGAACTCGGCATCAAAGTGTGCATCGAGTGCGCGTCTTGCCATAGCGTCATTAGGAAATAACGCAATCCTCAAATGGTTTGATTATCTTTCGAGAAAGTGAAGTTCAGAGTGCAAAACATTGACCTATACCTATGCGATCGGGCGCTGTAATTCCATGCTATAAGACAAGTCATTTGTGGCTTCTATAATGTGGAATTCCAAGCATTGTGAAGGCAGCTGTGTTCCTGTGAGTTTGAAGTTTTTATGCTTCAAGAAGTTTTGGTGTGAAATTGTGTAAGCGTCCTAGTATTGTGCGTCAATGGGTCCTCGAAATTCACGTTTGTCATCACGATACACTACAGCGTTTAGTCATTTCATTGAATGTTATTTTTTTAAAGATTATGGGCATCCCAAGCGCAGATTTTATCGAACATACAGTTTTAAAGTTACAAACGAGTTCCAGCTGACCAATGACTTTCCTGCTGACTTTGATGTTATCACTGCTGAGTAGGAGAATGAGGGATCACTTTGTAGGGATTACACTGAATAGGGATCACTTTGTTTTCCAAACGAGCCACAATGAAAATCAAGCGTGGGAATTTTAATTAGGGATTATATTAATAGTATTTATTTGTGTAAAAATTGGGATACTAGCGTGAAAATGTAATTTAAGTGTTCTGACCTTATCAATGTCTGAAATAACAAAGTAATTTACTCTGTATAGGCTGCTTGGTACATATTTGCTGCTGGACAAACAACTTGAAAAAAAACGAGCAGAAGGATTCAATTATTTTGTGTGAAGTTACGCAAGTTTTTTTTACGTTTATTTTACGCGTTCGTTTTTCGTACCTTTGACCTCCTCTCTTGAGATTATACTAAACCTGAATGCTTTTGCTTCGTTCTCTATCAATCTCGATGGAGATCAATAATTCTTGCGTTCATTAGAAATCGTATTCATAATATAATGCTACCAAACCTTTTGTAATCGACTATCACTTGCAGATGTTGTGCAGTCTCGGTGTACCGCTAAGCCCATCAACGCACCATCAACTAATACTTCGAAGGAGTATATATTGGTTAATTAATGATGGGTATGGTTGTATTTTAATTTTTTCACTAATTATTTGCGAATTAAAAGAATGAACTGATTCAATTTCATTGCCCGTTGGTAGCAAGTGGGTGGCATGTGACATCTGTTGTAATATTTGCAAAAAATCTTATGTTAAGCGTTAAATATTGGAGTGAAGTTAAAAATATGAGACTGAAAGTCGTTTATGACCTGAGAAGTGTTCGTACGCTTCACTTGGTACGCATACCGCTCTTTGGGAACCACTGCTATTGGGAAACTCATCCCTCAGCTTCAGCTTCTTTCTTTGATAAATATTATCGCTTCCTCTTCAATTCCCACTTACCCAGTTCCTTTCTCCGATGAAGCCCCAGCTTTTATTTTGCATGATTCTCTCTTCATCTTCATATCCTCTAATTATTTCAATACACATTAACGCGATGCCCTCCCTCTGCCGTCAACTACTCCAGCCTCTCAGCCGATGCCTCGTCCAGTTTCCTTTCTATAATGACGGGCATCTTCTGGTTCCCCCTCACAATCGCTCCCAATTCTGAAGGTCGTGGCTCGATTGTATCATATATTTATAGAGCTCAACCTGCAGCCGAACGTCAGTTACGCTTAGGCCGTCTGCCGCAGAACATGGTCGGTGCATAGATCCATGCTTGAACTCCTTTCACTTTTTTTCACATACGAAAAATTTTTTAACAACAAAACGATGGAGAAAATAATACATGTTTTTTTTTCTACAGGGTCACTTTTTAAAAAGTGTTTGGGGGTGCGCTTTGCTGGCAGCCTTTACAGCTGCTTCAGGTAATATTTTTTTATTTCATTTTCTTCTGGAGTTTTTCTATCTTAAATTGGATGTGATCAACTTTCTTGATTTACTGATAATGTGATGACTTTTTAATAAATTTTTGAACCAAAATATCAAGGTTTATAAAAATTTTCATTTAAAAAAAATCGATTTTCCAGGAGGAGGCGCGCATAACGGCGCCTACTCCCCGCCATCAGTGTCGTCTGGAAGCGGGAGTTCGATCGGTAGCTTCGCAGTCCAAGGTCAAGGAGGCGATTTCCATTCGGAAAATTTCGGTCAAGGCGCAGTTGGTGGAAATTTTGGAGGCAGTGATTCTGATGGATCGTTAGGTGGTGGCTTTGCCAAAGGGGGTGGAGGTGGCCTTGGTGGCAAAAGAGGAGATGTAGGTGGCATAGGTGATATTGTTGGTAAAGGAGCTGCAGGTGGCTTCGGTAATGGTGTAGGTGAAGGGGGCGTAGGTGGCTTCGGTGATGGCATTGGTAAAGGGGGTGGTGGTGGCTTCGGTGATGGTGTTGGTAAAGGGGGTGTACGTGGCTTCGGTGATGGTGTTGGTAAAGGAGATATAGGTGGCTTCGGTGGTGGTGGTGTTGGTAAAGGGAGCGCAGGTGGCTTCGGTGATAGTGTTGGTAAAGGGGGTGGTGGTGGCTTCAGTAATGGTGTTGGTAAAGGGGGTATAGGGGGCTTTGGTGATGGTGTTGGTAAAGGGGGTGATGGTGGCTTCGGTGATGGTGTTGGTAATGAGAATGTAGGAGGCTTCGGTGATGGTGTTGGTAAAGGGGGTGGTGGTGGCTTCAGAAATGATGTTGGTAAAGGAGGTGTAGGAGGCTTCGGTGATGGTGTTGGTAAAGGGGGTGGTGGTGGCTTTGCTGATGGTGCTGGTAAAGGGGATGGTGGTGGCTTCAGAAATAATATTGATAAAGGAGGTGTAGGTGGCGCCGGTTATGGTGGTAAAGGAGGTGTGGGGAACTTCGGTAATAGTGTTGGTAAAGGAGGTAGTAAAGGAGTTATCAGCAAAGGAATAGGCGGTGAACTAACTGGCGCATTCGCAGGAGTAGGTAATGAGTTTGGCTCTGGAGGCTTCATTCACGGCATTGGAGACTTCAGTGTCGGTGGAGATTTCTTTGGAGGAAGCAGTTTTGGAGGCAGTGAAGTTAACGGTGGTTTTGGAGTCGGTGACACAACAGGATTTTATGGTGCAGATGGCGGATTTAGTCATGTAGATGGAGGTAGTTTCTTAGGGCAAAAGATTCATCCAGGAGTGGGTGGAACTATTCAAGGACTCGGATTTGGAGGAGGAGTCATCGGTGAAGGGTTTGGAGGAAGCTCTGGTTTAGGCTTCAATGGCGGCCAAGCATTTGTCGGTCAATCTAGTTTCTCTGGAGGACTTGGAGAAGTCGAACTAGGAGGAAGTTTTGACGATTCCGGGAGCTTTGAAAGAGGTGCGATAGGTGGATTTAGCGGACCCAGAGTTACTGGTGGATTTGAAGACATCGGCTTTTCTGGTGGATTAGGAGTGCACACAGTTTCTAGTGGCTTGAGTGGGCTTAGCGCTTCTAGTGGGCTTGGAGGAATTGGAGTAACGAGAGGATTTGGAAGACATGATATCTCCGATGGATTTGGAGGACATGGAGTTGTCGGTGGATTTGGAAGAAATGGAATTTCTGGTGGATTTAGAGGAGTTGGAGCTGCCGGAGGATTTGGAGGACTTGGAGTTTCGAGCGGATTTGGAGACCTCGTAACGACTGGTGGATTTAGTCATGGAAACTTTGGTGGGTCTTCTTTTGGACATGGAACCGGGTCAAAACGAGGCCTTGAGATCGTTCGAGGAGTTCCGATTCGTCTGAATGGAGATGGCCTTGGTCACGATGGATTTGGCTTCTCCGCGAACGTTGGAGGTACCAGAGGATTTGGAGATAATGAATTCGAGTTTGCTCAAGGTTTTGGAGGAAACTTGGGAACACTGTCGGGAGACCACTCGGGACGATTTAGTAACAACTTTGGCGGTTTCTCTGGAAACTATCGCTGTGAGTTATCAATTGATCAAAATCAATCATAGGATTTCTTTATAGTAGAAGTCCATAAATACTTTTTTAATAAACTCAGTCCAAACATTCCTTTGAATAAAGGAGAATGAATTGATACCCGGTCATTGCTTGGACACGGGTTCAAACCACTTAAAACATAGAGACGTTCAGAAGCTTCTGAAGTTTCTGCAAAATTTCCCTGGCAGGTGTTTGGTAATTGAGTTAAGAGGAGAATAATTTAATATTGAGAAACATACTTGGTGATATATTAGCAAATTAATGATACTGGAAAATGAATGATATTAACAAATGAACGTTTTTAATTCTCATATAACATATTGCTGAATTTTCATTTTTTTTTCTTTGTAGCGTGTATTGCTTGGAATTGGACGTAGATTTTTTGTCACGTCTAAACATTGAAGTTGATTTAATCTTTAGGAATTACGTGTTATGTATTTCATACTTCTACTTTCACTTTGAATTTTAACTCATGTTCAACTCAATTTGTTCGAAAAGTTAACTAATTCATGTGATATCCATATTTTCTGCTTCGATGATATGCGAACTAACGACGAAAACGTGTCATTCTTTTGTTTCAGGAAACAATGACGAGGTTGAGGTTACAAATCTACGAGTGAAGATGTGTTGAATGTTACGAGAATGGACAGCGAAATCGACGCTTCCCTATGGACCTTGATTGTTTTTGTTTTTATTTTTACTAAAACAACGGAATTAGAGAAAAAATCAAACGTTCTTTTTTGTATTTTTCTCAAGTTAACAATTCCAGTGGACATTAGGAAGAAAAGCTGAAAAGATTGTTATGCCTGGACTGCAATTTAACTAGAATTTATTTAATAATTTAATCCTGTCTTGTGAAATTATTTGAATAGATAAACGCTTCAACTTTTTTCATCTATCGCCAGTTTAGGATTTGTGAATTACCAGTGATTTTTCGGCTGAAAACAACTTATTGTAGATCCCAATAATGGTAGAAAACTTTCTAAGTAAATTGCCCTTGTAATGTCCACTGTAAAAAGTCCTAGGTCCTCTCAAGTTTCTTGTAAATGTTCATGAATGCTATTTTTTCAACACGAAACCCAACATACGTCGCATGCAGTTCAAATATGCCAAAGATATCACGGTAATCCAGTTTTTTGCTGCGTTTTTTTAACCTAAACCGAACGGCCAACTCGTACGATGTACAAAGCTTTCGACTAATTGGTAAAATATTTGTCCAACATCATAGAATATGCATTGCAGCGGATACTGTCGACACGAATGGGACGAAATGTATTTTAAAAACATTCTTGATTGAACATTGACTTGCCAGCCTAATTTCGTTCACATTGATGAGGACGAAGAACTAAAAATTTAATATTTGTAAGGATTTCATCATCTAAGTTACAAAATAGCGGGCTCCAGAATGATATGGATAGTTAGTAGGGCAGCGGATAGGAGCGTACCACGAGCGTGGTATTCCATGTCCTGGGAGTTGACCATAAGACTCCAGTCTCATCTGAAGTGTCTCTCTTCAGAGTGCCCTTCTTGACCTATGTACTGTTGGATGTAATGCTGATTTTGTTGCTCATTAAATAAATAAGTGTTGACAATACCGTGATCTACTCTCCTGAGGAATAGAAAGAAACAGCTGACTGGAAGAACCCTGTGAAGTTATGACAATATTGATCTTGAATGAACAAATTTCTTAGAAGGCTTCGTGAACTGATTTCAACACGTTGCAATAAATAATAATACCGAACAGATGTTACGCTAGAGAAGCCTAACATGTATTTTTTGATGCTGCACTCCATTAGATGAACCTCCGCGTGATAAACCTAAGTAAAATCACTGGGCATTTAATAACAATCTTACACCTCGCGGCTTCTCAGCGTAAATGATAGCAATCTCGGTGCAAGTATCAACAAATTAAACTGAATATTTATTACCCTCGGTTAACGGAATAAAATTTTGATTACCAGAATCTATTAATTGTAACTTCGCAAATAGAAATGTTTCACCAAAGGATGCTGAAAATTTTCTGGCATTTTAGGTGAGTCAGCGGAAAGTCATGTATAAGCGATTGACGACTGACGAATAATCAACTATATCATTAAACGACGTACCATCAATCTAAACTATAAACTGTGCAATAAGGTAAAAATTTATGTATGAACTCGCATCGTATAGTTTGTATACAATTAAAAGTTTGCTAATTAAACGTAGTTCCAATTATTTGCGGTTACGGATACTCTCACTGTCTTCGCAAATGCATGTAATTTTAAAAGCTGAAATCTAAATTTAAGATATTCATGAATATGTGTACGAGTAAGTACGTGCTCGTATAATTACATTATTATTCAAAATTTAACTCTCCGCTGATGAGGGTGAAAACGTGGCAAGGCAGGCGCGAAAATTTTTCATTTCTGTACCCATTCTTTTTGTTTTCAGAAACCCGTCAAAGATAAGAATGGGTATCAAATGATAATTTTGGAAGCCCGTCAACAACAATAAACGTCCCGGTGACCTGCAGATCGAAGCTGTGGTCCAAGTGCAAAAACAAATGGTGCGGCTGATAGCTTGGGAGTCGTTGTAAGATGAGTTGTGAGAGGAACTGAAGGAAAGCGTAGCTTAGACTGAAGGCGGACGGTAAACTAGAGTCTACAGATTATTCACACATGTAGTATATAATTAAAACAAACAAATCTAGACATATCTTCTCGCGAACCTTACTGAGATGTCTAACATATTATTTCAGTACTTCTGTTGTGGCCATGAAAAGGCAGGTGAAGAAAATGTGGTCTTGCTGAATTCAGGTGTCAAACGTAGTAAATGATCGAAAATTAATTATTGGAAAAATCCATGATGGTCCGACAAAAACAATATCTTTTGTTAATAAATTTAATTCGTCAATACTGTAGAATCGAGTACTTATTTATGCCAACCCCAGCATCAACTTTCAGCCCTCTAACCGTCCAATTTCACGATCTTAGAACTTTACTAGCAACAATTAGACTTAGAAAAAATGAACGAATGTAATAACAGCGATTAAGTAATTTCACCCTCAATTACTATAGCCGTCACGAAGAAAACATTTCTTTGAAATTTTCATTCATTGTGCAAAGCGATTTGAAAAGTATCGTTTACCATTCGTACAACTTTGTGATAAGTAGTAACGGAAAATATATACCTGAACGTATTCATTAAATGAAGTTATGAGGAGACGCTACTCTGACGTCATCGATTTAAAAACCTTAATTCCCACATTTCACAGATGACCTCAAACATAGTGACCGTGAAATGCTCTCATACTTACAGACATGCTCATTGGATTTCAGGAACATATACCATTACATAATTAATATCGAGGCTAAAAAAGTATTCATGTTTTGTATTCTTTCCATATAAGTGAATTTCTAACATAAATTGATATGCATTTTAAGGCAATAGAGTGACATATTATCATCTCCCTGATTAGATAGTATCACCAACACGAGTATATTGACATAAGTGCAATGACTTTCACTTCAGGTACAACTTCTTTGAGGCCTGAGATATGATACCGTGAAACATGATATTGAAATTCTTGATGTCACAAATACAAATTATGTGAGACGCTTGTTTTCAGTACTTGTGCAGTTGCTAGTTTTTCGAAGATTTTGTGAAAAGCGTTTAAAGGTAATACAAAATCATATTTGTTCTATCCAACAAATAATATGATGAGGCTAAATTATAAAATACCTAGCTCTTAAGAAAACAATGATGCATTTTTTTACGAGCAGATTCCTTCTAGAATATATAAATTACGGGTGAGCTTGAAATTCCGTTCGGAAGTTACTAGCTAGGTAGAATTAGCCGGTGGGAGGGACAATCCGCGCTCAGAGCCACGCATGCAGTACCCTATAAGTTTGTTTAGCCAGCCATTACCTGCGAGCATAGCAGCGTCAATCGACCACTTGTCGCTATCTAACTTTGTTTTGATATACGAGTGTTGCATATCTTGAATTACCGAGCTCAGGTCTGTTTTCAAGGCCTATTGCCGAGTGATTACTTCACTCTGTTCTGTGTAGACGACGTTTCGTCCGTTACCGAATCTTGAAAGTCAACATCACCTGCGCCGTCTGTCATGAACTGTTACATTTCCTTTTTCTAGAGTACGACTGCCAAGCGTTCTCGAATGAATATGGTAACGGTTATTGTTCTCTTTTAATAAAATCTTTCCTCTGATACAAAATGAAAGTAGGTACCTTCAAATAACTGTAAGAAAGGCATTGTCATATTAAATAATATCTAACGACTATTAGCAATACCTACATATCGTAAACACGGACGACAGACTGCGGCAACTTAGAACTGCTGAAGATGGTCGTAAAATTTACCGCAGAAGCTTGCGGGGGAAGAGCTATGTCTGACGGACGGAGTATCAAGTCTCCCGTGTGAACGGTATTATTTGTTTCGTAGGGCTTTTGAGACACGGCCAAGTGGTAGGCTGGAGGGAGAGTTTCCGAACTACCGTAGTGAGAAGGCACATAACTCTCGTGAGGCATAGACATCGATTGCGTAGATGAAGATTTCTCTGGGCGTGGACCGGACGGCATGAGGTATACAACGTCCATGTAAGACGGGGGATCGTCGCCAATTTTATCCCCTTGCAATGAAGAAGAAGATTCTGCGTCTGCAAGTGGAGCTTCTTGTTCCGAGTTGGTACTCGACTGGACTTCACTCTGCGGTATAGATTCGAGGATTTTCATGTCGATGTAAATTCTTAGTGGTTGAACCTGAACTAATTTTATATTCTGAAAAGTTTGAAGCTACCTTATTAAAGTTAATGCTTTGGTTATAATAGGTATAGTTTGCTCTAACGCTCGTTCACGAGAGCATGTTGAAAAGGTATTAAAGTGTTTAAAAATTGAATTACAGATTTGAGTTTGAGCAACTTCACAATTTGAATTACCTTACTTTTAAATTATTTTCAATTCCATATACAACTTTATGCAACTTTGTCAGTATATTTGTGTTCAATTGTTCTTGGATTTATTGTGATATTGTACGACTGGAAAATAGAATCACAAATGAACGATATACAAAATTTTGATTGGCCATTACAACTTATATGCCAGGTTTGAATTATCTGCTTGTTTCAATGATCTATTTTGCGCATATATACGTATATAGATAGTTCAATTGATCAGAATGGAGTTCAAGGAAGAAAATAAATAAGGAAGCGTCTGCTAGATTTGATGCGAATACAAATCAAGCAATCATCTTCACAGTAAAAAATTGTAATATTTCACTCGCAAAACTAAATAGGCAAGTTGAAACGTTACTTTAAAGCAGACGCAATCAGCAACGTTACTTTAAGCAGACACAATCAACAATTCCAATAAACCTCTCACCTGCGAATACATATCCTATCAACTCACCATTATGCGGAGACATCTCCACACTATGCTAGCCGACAGCAGCAGCAACAGGCATGTAACGACCAGCCCCTTGACTTGCAGCGAACAAGTTTGGGGCTCACGAGTGAGAGATTCAGTGAGCAAACATAGCGATGATATCGTCACACACATGCGGCAGTAAAGCTTGAGTAGGTTTGGTTTATCCTGAGAATAAGGAAGGAAGAATGAGAGACAAGATGAATTTAGGAAAGTCTAGAATACATCAAGTATGTTAAGTAACCAACACTCAAGTGAATGATATCCGACACCAATTTTAATCTTGGTATGCAACCCTCTAGATATAAGTAGACTATTGTTACGAATTTAGTCTTAACGCAAATATACGACAAGGACTCAACATTAGATTTAGAACCCTTAACTCTCATTCACGTAAAAGCTATTTAAACTCGATTTTTATTCGAGCTTTATGTTATAAAGGGGTTATAGTCCACTTACGACAATACCGCTCGTGAAAGTAAAATGATTTGAATTTTAATTCTAGATTACCGATGTGTATAATACTGTATTATAATAATGTATCGTACCTTACTGGAATACTGCAAAATGTTAGTATTTGTACACATCTTGCCCGATGCACTGAAAACATGTTAAACTGGCGATAACCTTTGACAATAATTGAGGGAATGATAAGTGCAGTAAAACAACATAAGCCACAAAAAAGTCAGTTTATTTCATTTGGGCGATGGTTGACACGCAATGAAAGGTGGAGTCCTCATCATTTTTAAACTGGGAAGCTAACATATGTTGGCAACCGTAATAAAAATGTTTAATTGTTCGTCTGTTCCCACTTCATCTTTATCGTGGTTTATGATTACCTTGTCTACTCCGTAGTAGAGCACGCCGGCTGCGCATGCTGCGCTCAGACTTATCAGCAGTAGCAGCAAAAGTCGCCTGTCATCTTAGATTAAAACAAAAATTACTTCACAGTTTATATTCTACTTTATATTGTTTTTTTACGAAGTACTTAATTATTTTCATTGCTTCATTTATTATTAAAAGATTTTGGAGACATAGAACTCAAGATTTTTAGATTACAGCTGAACGATTGTTCTAATTTTCAATTGATACTTCACAAAGCGTAAATTCTTACTTTTATCTGTGCAGTTTCCTTCGCAAGCGAACTGCACGAAGACGTAAACTGAGATTATCTGAAAAGTAACGAGTTACATCCTGAGTTTTAAATGGTAGAAGAAATACGTACTAACGAAGAAATTTGACTTATATTTATGGAGATTTTAAATTTTGGTGCTAATATATCAACTATACCGATATCCAAATTTGGTAAAAAAATCTCTAACGATTTCTCGTGAGTGTTTTGTAATTACAAGTTAACGATAGCAGAAATTTGTGTACCTTCATTAAAAAAATATTTTGAAAGAAATGAACCTCAAAAAAGTGAATGAAACCACTCACTTCGAACTCTGTTTTCAAGCTAAACCCTCTAATCATATGAGCACAGGACTGGGCTGTTATGTGTACTAAGCTGTTGTGTGTACTTAATTTTAATTAAACAATTTTTGGTAATTCGGCCCAGTCTTCTAACTCACTATCATTCACTTAAATATACACAATTTATTTCATGTTCACAATTGGCAAATCTTACCAAAAACTCACCGAGGAGAGCGCCGACACAGCTTTGCCAGCTAACGTGTAGTGGATGCAGCAGCACTCGTGATCACTCATTTCGCTTACGAGGTTAATTGCCAAATAACAGAAGATGGTTTTCGAAGCTCTGGTCAATCTTTACGAGATTCACTCTAATTTTAAATTTGTTCAAAATTATTACGTTGTCATTTTGGTTTTGATCCATTCCAGCTCATTGTACTGAGCGTCATTTGCTGTATGACGTTATATAGGTATGCTTTGTAAACCCCAGCAACCCATAAACATTTAAAGTTCACAAAATTATAACTTATCGAACGGAAATAATTATTATCAGCTTGATGGTCTTATTTTCGTCAATTACCACGATAATATATTTAGGATTTTTTATTAACGTCCATACATCAATGAAGTTATTATTCGTCAGTGAGGAGACAGTATGTAGTTCATGCTTCTATGGTCAACTTGTCACTAAAAACTGTCCCTGCATTGAAGTGCTCAGCGTCTCATAAAGTCACGCTATGTGCCCAACAAAACACTTATAATGCAATTATTCAGCAACTGCAACTACTTATCTTATCATGACCAGCAATTCTGCACTATTATCTATTTTTCAGGTTCTCTGGTGCTTAGTATCAGCGGGAGGGAATTTTTCAACGAGTGCTATGGACGAAATAATCGTAGATTAGAATTGTTGTCATTCAAAGTCCACGTTAACGTTGATGCCGTCTCAATTGATAGATGCTTTACTCTCTAAACTTTACGACAGTCATCGTTCGATCTACTAACTCGATAACGTCGACCTTGGTATGTAGAATTACTTACCTGACAAATTACTCTTCAACTGCCTGTGTTGCGCTCACCACCTCATCTAATGGAAATAAAATACAGGAATTTTACTCGAGTTATCCTGATGATTGATGCGTGGCAGGGTGATGGAGACTCGTCATTCGGAAGACTCACGACATGAACATTTTTCAGCGCATTTTTATATCACATTTAAAACAGTCAGGAAATCAAATTCGATTTCATATTAAATTTAGATTAAATAGCAAGAGATTAATATCAATAAAACATGCTGCAAAATATGTTTAGATTAATAGCAACAAAATATGTTGCAAAATATGGTCAGATTAATGGCAACAAAATATGTCGCAAAATATGTTGCATCGTACGTGACATCTAATTGTAATGAAACTGCATCCCTATTTTCTTTACTACTTTGAGGCAAAAAATAACATAAGCTCTTGAAGAGAACATTAGTAATGAAATTGGATGATTGAAAAGGCATGTGCCCACTCCTGTTGTAGTTGCAGTATGACTCGCGAAATCCTATCTAAAATGGAGTCTGGTTTTAAGCCTACAACTGATATACTTTCAAACGTTATTCAATGAATGAAGGCACACGCTTTCATTTAGCGCCGTATTTTGACGTATAATTTTCCTGGAAGTCTAATACATGGGGCTAATTACTTTATTTAAGTTCTACAGAGTTAATAACCCAATGGAGCCTGACGCCTGGCTTCACGCGGGCTATAATCAAATGTGTTGACGGAAACACACAGTCAAAGGTGCTGTTCTAAATAGTCACGCTTAGTGTCTATATTTTGATACTTCTGTTTTTGTCCTGCTAACTACAAAATATCAAACGATCTTTACTCGTAACAACATACGCAGGAGACAAGCGCAGGGAAAAATTTTAATTTACAAAACAAGTTCCATTCACACAATTCGGGGTCCCTATCTTATTAATTTTAATTAATTTTTTATTTATATCTCTGCATCATTAAAGATATCAGTATAAAAAATAACTAGGTAAATATCATTAGTGAATCACTGAAGTCGAGTGAGCATTTCCAGAAAGTTATGTCGCATCTTATCAGCCAGATGGCAAAAAGGCGTAATTATTCTCATTCTTGATTTTTGCATCTTTACCTGACAAGTGAATTTCTAGAGATCTAAAATTAGGCAAGTACCTAAAAATGCAATTAGTAAATTCTCAAGACGTGGGTCTATGGAACATCAGCCTTTATTTCATTTTTGCCTTTCCTCCCTGTTGCCCCTATCAACCCTAAAACATATTCACTATAGTTACACTGCAAATCCCTTTAACGCCTCATTTCCTATCTTTCTCCGCCAGTTGAAAGCTTTGCTTAGCGAAGCATTGATTTGATTATTAATTTTAATTTTTCCACTCAAAAGTATAAAGGTACGACGTGCAGCTCAGTAGATGCATATACGTGAATCGTTCACTTACCCACCGATCTGTTGAAATACAACCAGCAAATGTGAAATGTCGCATGACAGCTAAGGAAGGTCGGTTGAAAATTGGAAACTGATACGGAAACGGGCGTTCTTTTCTGAGGTATCGTATATTAATAATGATGATTTTTAAATTAGTTGTATATTGTAGGAGAAATTACACAGTCCTGCTAGGCTTAGGTTAAAGAGGATGAGGGAGGAGGGGGAGTACAACGGATATAAACTTTAACAAATTCCCGATTATGTGTCGTGTGAGATTGTCATCGCGTGAGATATGTTTTTTTTGCCGAATATGCTGGCCCCAGCCACTTTATATACATTTCTACCAAGACTCGCTTGGAATAAAATTTACACTATAATTTTGTGTTTATTTTTATTAATTTGTCCTGTTGAAATAATGTATTAATTTTATTATAATAATGTATGAGCATTGCACGGGCAGACCTTGAGACTACAGGAACCAATCTCCTATTGTCATAGAAACCCGTGTTTGTGCATATGGGTTCAGGTAATGAATGCTCAAGATCATTTTTATTTGTCATGGTTGAAGTAGAGTAGAGAAACATCCACTCGCATAAAAACATCTCATCACATATTAAATTCCCAGTCAGAAATCGCCGCAGTCGGGGAGGCGATCGCTGGTGAAAATGCCTCTCACTAAAGTGGTACCAGCGCCGCTTGTGGCAGTAAGCAGGCAGGCATGTCAAAGCTGTCGAAACATCCATGCATGCCTGCGAGAAGACATCCGAGGCAGCAGCCGTACCCGGTCGAATGATCCGCTAACTGCGAACGTGCGGCGTGAATTCATCATTGACGGCAAAGTTCGGCCAGTTTGCGAAGGTGCCTGCGCCGAACGGCCTTGGTGACAACAATAATATCAAACTGGATAAATTCAGTGAGCAAGCATCGATATTTTACCTACTTAATATTGTGTTTGATTGATGCATGGGAGATAAAGCGATATTTACGGGAAGGCGCCTTCTTTAGGCACTATACAGTAGACGAAGGAGAGGTACAGCCTCGCCTCCGCCATTAGGTAACCTATCTCGTGGCATCAATCGTTGTTCTGAAGTAGCCTTGAGTTGATGACAATCTACAGCTAAGAGCTTTTCGAGGAGCAACGTTAGAAAGAACTGCATAAATTACTCTCAAAAGTACCGCTTGTTAAAATTGAAAGCCTTACGATCGACGGCAGCGGAACCGTGAAGCTGGCCGGTAACTGTTTTAGGGCCCTCAATAATTTCACGATGGCCGTGTTGGCTCAGTTTTCCTGCCGTGTATGTACGGGCAACCGACGGTCGTTTCGGCACAGCCGCGTAAAGACTCAAAGCGATAACCGTACCTTCATCATCTCTGTGATCCCGCCACATATTAAATACTTTCTATAATGTGTGAAAACAATGAAATCATCTGTTGAAAAAGGTTTCAATATTTCGGGTTGCTCTAGTGATCAGTGTTTAAGTAAGTAGAAGCTACTGGAATGTCTGTACAGGTGTCTACAGGATATTTTGTTTTAGTTGGTCGGTACTCCTATTTTTTCAAACCTTTTAGTTATAATTTTTATCTCGGTAGGATTCCTGCAGAACGCCTGTAAACGCCACTCTTTATATCGTCTCGCAGACACGCTACTTAATCAATTGGTGTACTGGAAGTGAAGGGGAAATTGGAATGGAGAGATTAGGTATTAGAAAATTTCATATTTCCAATATAGGTACCGGTATTAAACTATAAACCGTGCATTCGTTCACCCATGGCAAACATTAGTAAGATGGCATTGTCAGGTTGTCACCAAATAATGTACTTATTATAGGTCACCAACAAGAGCCTCTTGTACTACTATGAAATCCGAACGATAAATTGAATCTTAATCAGTCTAATGATGAATAAATATAATTTGTTTGGAGACAATTGCAAGACAGATTGAATACGTTTCAATTAATGTATTTAAAACATGTTTCTTTAATGTTATTAACTTTTAATTGCAGGATTTTTACTTGGAATAAAGAGATACGATGATACAGGACGCGAAGTTTGAATGCTGTTATTGGCCCCTCAAACGCTGAGATCACAGCAATCGACATTGAACTTTTTCAGCAGAGGTTACTTTCCAGATTCTAATTTATATGAAAGCGTAATAGTAAATTCCGTGAAATTAAACAAATTATGTCACTATAAGCTAGCTACAAAAAACTAATTACATAACACTGTGCACTAAAATCATCAATCCTTGAACACGCTTTAATCCAAATGAGCTTTCAAACAGCAGCGCATATCGATAAGCTATAACCTATTGGGATCGTGAACATGGACGGCAGACTGCGGCGACTTTGAACTGCTGAAGAGAGTCGTGAGATTTCCGGCAGGAGCTTGCGAGGGAAGAGTGATGTCTGACGGACAGAGTATGACGTCACTCGGAAATGTATTTGTTTCGTAGGACATTTGAGACACGGCCAAGTGGTAGGGCGGGGGAAGTGAGTTCAAACTCTCGTATGAAAAACGCCTATAAATCTCGTGAGGCAGAGGCACTGTGAAGACAGAGGAAGATTCCTCCGGGGGTGGCCGGTGCACAACGTCTCTGTACGACGGGGGATCATCTCCAATTCTATCCCCGTCCATGGAAGTGGAAGATTCTGTGGCTGCCGGTAGGGATTCTGATGCTGAATTGGTAGCCGACGTGACTTTGACCTGTAGAACGAATTCATGAAAATTATGCCTGTCGGCTATTCCATTATTGAACTAAATAAAATGAATGTTTAAAAATTGGAAATCAATTTATTGAGTTTAGAATGAGAAAAGTTTTTGTGCTGCACGTACGTTTGTGCGATAACACCAATTCAGGAAGTCAGGGAAATAAACAATAGTCATTGAATTTTCATTTCTCGTTATTATTTCTTTATTCGACACCAGACGCTCCTATATTAGTGATAGCAGAAATAATAATCAAAACATTTGTCAATGGAAATCATTAAAATCATCAACAATCAAAACATTTAATATAAATCCGGAACGATTCAGACACGGGACGACATGTCCTGGGCATATATAAGAGCTGTACAATTTTCCTGAAATTCTGTTTTTAAAGGGATTCAATGAGTCACATGATTGCTTTTCCAAAAATTTTTATGCAAGAATTTGTCAGTTTTCAACATTCCAACTCCATCAAAGTAAGACATATTTAAGGTCAATCTTGCAAACGAAACAAAGCTTCTAAGCGGTTGACTTATAGACGCTGAGTCACCGACCCGCGCTGATAACGACTTTTGAAACTCGTATATACTGTTCACGTTGGGCGACATGATTCAAATTGTATCTATTATGAAACGTGACGAAAGAAGCGAAAGCTAACTACAAAATTATTCTGCCATCCATGCAACGCATTAACGTATTTGCCGAGTTGTGTGGACCGCCAAATGTCGCCAAATATTCTTAACCGCCCATTAAAATTCGAAAATTTAAATTGTAAATCCTAACTACGCGAGATCATAATGTCTTGATGTCTCGTATCGCAACGAAATATCGTCTTTACTTGAATCGTTAAGGCATATCATGTTATATAGTCAATCTTTCTCGTAACGTATCAGAGTATCCGGATAACAATTTCTAACTTGGAGCCACAACGTTTTCCCGATTTCATACTTTATGCAATAGTATTTTGAGTTTTCCCGGTATTTTCTTCTAGGGTATTTCTCGTCTCGAAGATCCGGCTCAATTGAAGAGAACAATTCATAGGCACGGGAATTTGCATAATCATTTCTTATTTAGTTGCAATCATAATGTAACGGGCCAGATATAGGCCTCGTTTTGTGTACTAGATTTGAAGCCGCCGCACTCCTCGAAAGAAGACGGCAGAGAAAAATTTACTAGCCGAACTGTCTTCGGCTGTAGTCTGTCTCTCGTATGGAGCGACTTCATCTGTACCATTGTTGTGCCCATCGATTGCTTCATGTGCGTTCTACGTCATCTGGACCTGTTGAGTGCAATTGATTTTGCAATTTTGAAGCAGTTATCTCAAGCCTCTTAAGTAAACGTCGGCCTGAACTTCATTGGTTGTTTCAAATCTTCCACGATCTTAGGGCCCGCTGGCAGAGACCTTAAAGTGTTTAGACGTAGTAGTTTCCCGCTACAGTAATTTTGAAAGATGTTCATTGATATGTTAGGTGGTCTTAGGTACTGTAGCACTTACGCGAAGTGACGCTTCTTGTCGGTATTTGGAAGCTTCTTGTTCGCACTCTAACGAGTTATTTCTGTTTTTTACATGCACATTGCTCGATCCGTCGGTTGGTATTATTTAGACCCTTAATTGTAATGTCAGTGGCGGTCCACCATTGACATCGCTAGTGGAGCTAACGCCATCACAATTGTAAGGGCATTAGCCTCACCACTGGTCGGGCTAATGGAACTGAGTACACCACATTCTAGTGCCTCTCAACGGTCAATCTGAAGTAGAAAGTTTGAGAGCACGTCACCATTGAGAAAAAGAACTCCTCTAACCACTTATCTCATTTAGGGCCGAAAATGAATACTGAAAGACTACTCATGATTGAGAGATCTTGTCAATTTACCATAATTAAACGGCATCTCCACACGATGCCGGCTGACAGCAGCAGCAGAAGACAGGAGATGATCATCCCAACGACATTCGATGAAGTTCCGGGCCCACGGGTGAAAGCTCCAGTGAGTAAACATAGCAGTGACATCGCCACGCACATGCATGAGTAAAAATTGAGCTCGTCTGGCTTACCCTGCAAATGAATGGAGCGAGTGAGATATAAAATATAGTGAGGCATCACGTCTCATGTTAAGTAACCGACACCCAATTGAATGGTATCCAACACCAACCTGAGAATTAGTATAAGGCTAGGGTCTGGAACGGCAATGCGAATAAAACACAAAATCGTAACCGAAAACCGGAGAAAACGGTCAAACACTGGGTTTTGGTAACAATTTTAATACTAAAACTGATATATGTACTACTTATCAAATTACAGCAGTTAAAAAATTATATGAATTTTAAAATATTAAAAGTTGTAAAAAATTGACGTTTTAACGTATACGTATTTGAAGTTAAATGTGGTTTTAAAGTTAAAAGCAATGAGAACTAAGTAATAAAAAGTCGTAGTAAAATTGTAAATCAGTTCATTTAATTTTGGATGAAGGTCAACACAGACGGCTAATAAACGGCGGCGAAGTGATCATGCGCTAACGCAAGGTGGCAACCGCAATTACAACGTACATTTGCTTATATATTTCTACTAGCATGGCGTGATTAGTGATTACCTTCGTTACTACGTAGTAAATTGCTTATATATTTCTACTATGCATGGCGTGATTAGTGATTACCTCCTTTATTTCATCGTAAAGCATGACGGCAGTGATTAAGGTGCCCAGACCTATGACACTTAGCAGAAATATTCGCCATCCACCTGAGTGTACAAGAATAATTACTTGTTAATAAAGAACCATTCTAATCTTGATAGTTTTCCAAGTTTCTGTTTAAATTACATGTCTTTATTTGATTAGGAAAATATTTCAACTACACAAAATTCCAGACTTGTTCTAATTGTTGTGCAGTCCGATTGTTCAGCTCAGCAATGAAAACTTTCGAAATCAATCATTCTTACTTGTTTCGTAGTTATTATATTCGATAACGGCCAGCAAGATGGCGTAAGCTGAAACTATCTGAAACGGAATCTCTTGGGACTTAATTGAATTAAGGTAGGATATATAGCATAACGAAGTATTCCTACTAATTTCTATGAAATTTTTAAAATTCATATACTATTTTAAAAAGAGCTATAGCAGAAATTCTTGTATATTCTCACGGCCTAAGGGCTGGCAGTGAAAAATGAAGTTTGAAAATGTATTGAAAACGCCCACTTCGAAATCATGAAGGTAATTCTTCATTCATTTCATTATCATTCTCTTCACTCATTATCATTCTCACTCGTCTCCTTATCATTATTCACTCATCTCATTATCATTCTCGCTCATCTCATTATCATTCTCTTCGTTCATCATCAAAAATCATTCTACTTTATGTTCACTGTTTTCGTATCTTGCAAAAACTGACCGAGGTGAGAACAACTGCGGCCTTCCCAACGGCCGTGTAGCGGATGACACAGCACGCGTTGTTTGCACTCATGGCACTTGCGGATCTGATTACCAAATAAGGACTGAAGAATTTCTATGCTATAGTCCAACTGTTAAAGTCACCCCAGTTAGAAGTCACTCTGATCTTCTAATTATCCAGAATTATATGTTATCATTGAAGGTTCTGCTATATTTTTCCTTATTATGAGTAGCGTTATGTGTTGCCAAACGACATCCAGTAATGAAATTTTTTTTTTCAAATATTTTTAAATTATTGCTTTAAATAATTAAAAGCAACAATCAAAACATTATTGTAGACAAAATCTTGAATTAAGGTCATAGAATAGTGAACATTTGGGTCAGTGAGGAGAAATGATGTATTTCATACCACGGTCTTCCAATTAGCACTGACACGTTCCTGTGGTGAAGTGTCCGGCGGCTCACCTCGTCATGTTAAGTGAAAATCAAAAAAACATTTATGATGCAATTATTGAGTATCCAAAACTATTTATCTTATCACGATTATCTTTTCGTTTTTATCATCTCTGACTCAGATCTCGTGGTATCAGTGGGAGGGAAATTTTCAAAACGTTCTGCATGTAAACGAAAATTTACTTTCTTTGGTTTAATTTTCCGTTAATGTTTGTAGTCTCAATAGCTAGAAATATTCCATGCTAATTTCTGTGATAGTCATCCTCCCTCTACAAACCCAATAAAACCGAATATTAAGGCACTAAATCATAAGCCGCACAAATTACGCGTTTGCTTGCGTTTTCCGCGTATTGCTGTGCTGATAACGACCGCTGAACACACGCCCCATCTCATCTAATAGATATCAAATGCAAGAATTTCACACAACTCGTCATGATGATTGATGCGGACAAGCTTATTGTGACTCGCCAGACAGACGAAACATGACGTGAACATTTTTTTTATTACTTTTCACTCACTCGGCTGAGGCTGAGTTTTCAGTTTCTAAACGACACTGTCAGGAAATCAATTTCCTTTTCATATTAAACTTGGCTGAATTGAAGAAAAAAATACTTCGAAAATTGGATTTATAGTGTAATCAAAAGATGTAGATTAACAGGGGCCAAGATAATTTTGTGAAATGCAAAAGTTGAACCCACGGCATAAAAATTGCGAACCACAATTTTGTCACAAGATCGGGATTTTATACAACTATATTTGAATATGAAATGAATGCAAATTGCACGTCGCTCTTTAGAATTTCTTCAGTTTAAACGTGGTCAACGGAGAATAGCAATGAAGTAGTAAAGAAATTTACGCCAAAAGCTACCGAGGTTCAACTTCAAATTGTTCATCGAATTTAACCTCTTAGCAGATTCTTACCTGGCAACCGCAGAAAAGCTGTTTAGAAATCCTGTCCCATATTAGACCACCTGATGAAAAATAAATTGCAACATTAATAGAAATCTTACAACTGTAAGGAATTTACACTATTGAATTTGGATTCTACAAATTCATTTAATCAATTATCTCTAAAAAGATTTGGCCTGCACAGGCAACGACGCATCCACAGTTTGCTACATCTGTCGAAAAAGAAAGCAAGCTGCCCTTCTTCTGGTGACAGTAGCAGAGAATTGAAGATAGCTTTCAATTAGGTTTACTTGTTCTGAGCGCGGTCCTGCGCGGAGAAGCTCAAGTGCGCCAGACACTTGAGTAGTCTCTTGGTAGTGCTGTAACGTAATTAAGCGTGCTGCAATGAAACGTGGACGTAACGCAATGAAATGTGACGTGACGCAAAAAACCGTGGACGTAACGCAATGAAACGTGGCGTGACGCAAAAAACCGTGGACGTGACGCGGTGAAACGTAGACGTGAGGCAAAGTTTGACGTCACAAGAGGGAAAAGGAGCAACGGCAGCAGGACCACAAAATTGCAAATGCTATAGAGAGAAAGCAAAATTTTAACTAGGCTCTTATCATGAATTAAAGTGGCAAAATTGATGAAGCGGTAATATCAAAGATATTTGACTAATCTATTTAACACCTATTTAACAAACCTAAGGTTCTTAATGCCCGTGTTGAGACTAAATGATGAAACAATGAATGAAATTGAATTTTAGTAGTCAGGAATTTAAAAGCAAAGAAAATACCACAAAAATTCACCATATCTTTATAAGAGAAAACGTTTCGGAGTCCAGCTCCATCGTCAGTTCAAAACACAAAATTCTGTTCAGAAAAAGTTTGTTTTCTCTTATAAAGATATGGTGAATTTTTGTGGTATTTTCTTTGCTTTTAAATTCCTGGTTAACTTGCGATTCAAGCAAACGAGTGATTTTAAGTTTAGTAATTTAGAGGAAAACAGTAATAAGAGTAGAAAGTTGTACGGAAGAAGACAGCAAGAATACGTGGAGGTTTAATAGCGTATTGAAAGAGGATCACGGATTTTAATTATTAATGGCACAATATCTATTAGCATAACAAACTATCAACGCGAATTACACAAACCCTACTTTGGGCCAGAATATATATTTGATATAATCCGATGATTAACTCATATAATTTTGTTCAGATGTTTTTTTGATATAACATAGTAATGATTCGATATAAATTTAACACAGATTTAACAAATTTTAATGCAGATATGAAATTAAATCTGATATAAATTGGATTTAAAATATTGTAAATTGTGAAAATAACAGAACTGACGGCGACTCTGAACTGTTGAAGAGAGTCGTAAGATTACCGGCAGGAGCTTGCGAGGGAAGAGTGATGTCTGACGGACGGAGTATGACGTCACACGGAAATGTATTTGTTTCGTAGGACATTTGAGACACGGCCAAGTGGTAGGCCGGGGGAAGTGTGTTCAAACTCTCGTATGAAAAACGCCTATAACTCTCTTGAGGCAGAGGCACTGTGAAGACAGAGGAAGATTCCTCCGGGGATGAACGGCGCTCAATGTCTCTGTACGACGGGGGATCATCTCCAATTCTATCCCCGTCCGTGGAAGTGGAAGATTCTGTGGCTGCCGGTGGGGATTCTGGTGCCGAATTGGTAGCCGACGCGACTTTGACCTGTAGAACGGACTACTGAAAAATATGAACGGATTCATGAAACAAATTTATCGAGTTTAGAATGGGAAAGTTTTTGTGCAGCAAACTCGTTTGTACGAAAAAAAAAATTCAAGAAGTCAGCGAAATAAACATAACTCATGAATTATCATTTCTCGTTATTATTTCTTTATTCGAGACAGGACGCTCCTAAATTTGTGATAGAGGAAATAACAATCAAAACATTTTTCAATGGAAATCATTGAAATCTACCATGAAAACATTAAATGGAAATTCGGAAAGATACAGATACGGGAGGAGATATCCTGGGCATACATAGGAGCTTTACAAGTTTTCTGAAATTCTATTTTTAATGGTATTTAACGAGTTATATGATAACTTTTCCAAAAATTTTCATGTAAGATTTTGTCTGTTGTCAACATTCCAAAAGTATCAAACTTAAACATTGTTAAGGTCAATCCTGTAGATGAAACAAAGCTTCCAAAGCGGTAGACGTCTAGACTTAGCGTCACCGACCCGCGCTGATACCGACTCTTGAAACTCGTACGGTCCACTCTGGGAACCATGATTTAAGTTGTATCTATTATGATACGTGATGAGAGGAAAGCTGTAAAATTGTTCTGCCATCCATGCAACGCATTAGCGTAACTGCCGACTTGCGTGGAGTGCCTAATGTCACCAAATTGACTCAACTGCCCATTAAAAATCGAATATTTAATTTGTCAATCCTAAATACGCGCGATCGTAATGTCTCGGTCTCGTTTCGCAATGAAATATTTCGTCTTTCCTCGAATCGTTAGGGAATGTCAATTTATATATAAATTGTCTCGTAACGTGTCAGAGTATCCGGGAAACAACATCTAGCTTTGGGAACGTTTTGCCGATATCTAACTTTATGCCAAATAGTATTTTGAGTTTTCCCGGTATTTTCTTCCAGGGCGTTTCTCGTCTCGCTGTCCGGGCTCAATTGAAAAGAACAATTAAGAGGCACATGAATCTGCGTAATCATTTCTTATTTACTCACAATCATAAGATTAAAAGATGTTCATTGATATGTTATGTGGTCTTAGGTTCTGTAGCACTTTAGGAAATGAATCTTCTCGTCGGTATTGGGAGGCTTCTTGTTCGTATTATGACAAGTCATTTCTGTTTTATAAATGCACATTGCTCGATCCATTGATGGTATTATTTAGACATTTAATTGTAATGTCTGTGTTGGTCCATCATTGACATCACTAGTGGAGCTAATGCCATCACAAGTAAAGGTATTAGCCTCACTACTGGTCTGGCTAATGGAACTGAGTACACCACATTCTAGTGCTTCTGAACAGTCAAATCAGAAATAGAAAGTGTGAGAGCTCGTCACCATCACGAAAAAGAACCCCTCTAATCACTTATTTCATTTAGGGCCAAGAAACGAATACTGAAAGACTACTCATGATTGAGAAATCGCGTCCATTGACCATAATTAAACGGCATCTCCACACGATGCCGGCTGACGGCAGCAGCAGAAGACAGGAGGTGATCATCCCAACGAATTTCGTTGAACAAGATTCGGACTGACGGGTGAAAGCTTCGATGAGCAAACACAGCGGTGATATCGTCACGGACATGCAGGAGTGTACCGTGAGCAGGTTCGGCCTCTCCTGCAAATAAATAGAGTGAGTGAGATATGAAATGAATTGGAGTTTGTTTAGGAGTCATCACGTCTCATGTTAAGTAACCGACAACCCAATTGAATCCAACACCAACCTGAGAATTAACGCCTCGGTCTGGAACGACAATGCAAATAAAACACAAAATCGTAACGGACGTAACCGAAAACCAAAGCAAGTGATCAAAAACCGGAATTCTGGTAGCAATTTTAACGTTAAAATATATGTATACTAGTTATTAAGAAACAGCAGTTATAAATCATTTGTATTTTAAAGTTAAAAGTTTTTAAGAGTTATGCGTTTTTAAAGTTAAATGCAATGAAAAGTAAGAAGTAAAAAATCACGGTGGCAACCGCAATTACAACGAATATGTGCTTACATATTTCTACTAGCATGGCCTGATTAGTGATTACCTTTGTTGGGGGTGTGCACGCCGGCTGCACACCCTGAGCTCAGACTTAATTTTAATAATGCAATTTTATATTGTTGCAAAGAATTGCCTAATCATGACTAGGAAGAATTACCCGTTCTGAACCAAAGGCTCTCATGAAAACTTTTCGCAAAAAAATTTGTTTTTAGGAAGGAATCGCTTGCAAAGTTATGGCAAGGCGAGAGGGCGGCTTGCAGTCGAGAGGAAGCGGAGTAGTTCTCGTAGTGGACTAGTTCTTGCAACGGACTAGTTCTTTTCGCGAACTAGTTCTTGTGCAGCTTGCGCCACAAGACGCACTGCGGTCATGATTACGTCAGCACAACAGGCCACCGCTTCGAGCCTATCAACAATAAGCCTGAAATCGCTCCATTAAATATAATATTTTCGGTAGTAATATACTTTTACGAAAGGAATAGCTCATGGGATTTGTCGCTTAGATTATTTGCTACTAAATTTTGCCCTATAGTATTCATCTATTGTTAGCCCAACCGAAAATATATAAATTTGTTTCCGTAAAAATGTGTATTTTCACATTTTATACTGATTGAAGTTTTGCATAATATCCAAACGATGAAATGAAGTTATAACATCCAAAAATTTGTCTACAAAACATATACACAACGCGGGAAAGTTGTACGACTTTGTGGGTCTTTTGCAGGGCTGAAAGCATGACTTGAGGTTTCCTTTAGTGACTGTCATGTTCGGGCGTCCATCACTCTGCCTTTGTGGTAAATTTATTTATTTTATGAAACGCTCGATCACGACAAAATTTCATTTGAATTAAGCGAGTGTGAATTGCGCAACTATTAGTTTTGAATTAAATGAGTTCAGTTTGCGCCAATTAACAAAAGCACATCATTTTATTAATTTGCTTGATACGTTTAATTTCAATGCAACTGAAGAATACCAGTTTACAGTGGTAAAATGCAATGCAAATTTTCCCTCCAATACGTCTAAATTTAATTAGGGCTATTTTAAATTAAATAAAGTTAATAATCACTAAACATTATTATTATCTAAAGCTATTTCGCAGGCCCATACAAAATTTTAGGCGATTTATTAGAATGAACAGCCGAGTGATGAATATATCCAAATTAATAAGCTTGATAAAAGTAAAATAAAATGTCAAATTTATGAAACAAAAATTAAATTCTGAAGCATGTAAAAAACAGATATGTGCAAAAATGTTCCAGACTTTAATCAGGTCGCAGACGTGAACAATTCATGATCTTGTAACATGTTTAATGAGAGCTTGATGAGAATTCTTTATACACGAGATTATTTGCCTAAACGATAATCTCAACAAGGCTGTTAAGCTGCAGGCATCGGCATGCTGCTGTTTTGCAAAATTGTTGCCGACACACCCGAAGTTTATAAACGAAGCTGCGACAATATGCAGCACTCTGCGGCGCTAGGCTCGCTGGTCTGTCACTATACTCTGCCGGGCAATCGCTGCATTGAACACAAGACAAGAGCATTGACTTGTAGCGTCAGTCGTGATCTTTATTTGCACGGCAATTAGTCTAGTTTACACAAATTAATTAGGCGGGTTGGTTATCGTGTTTGCTCATGAATAGAATGTTGTTATAACTTGAATTCAAGGAAAAAGACCTAGCACCCCTGTGAATTTTTCAGCAAATATCATACAAAAACAGCAAAAAAGTACACACATTTAAGGCTGACCAACATGCATTTGGTAAGTATATTTATGCGGAAATATTAAACTCAGCTTCATAATCAACTTTGAGCTTGCATGAGCTTTTTAACACAAAAAGCAGTTTAGTAATCTAAGTAAAAAATTTCATGATGATTTGGATGGTCTCATAACATAACAATATCAGTACAGCGATGAAATGCTAGTCAGCTGACGGGTCAGTGAGTCGGGTTACGTATAATAAGTAACCCCAATTATAGGGGCCATGTTGCAACATGAGATTTTACCCAATCGACTCACAATATAGCTTATACAGGTTCAATATATCACGTTAAATTGTTAATTAGTGAATTAAAGCAGATACGAAACTGTACGCTATATCCTCATGATGTGATGCGAATGTACGAGTTCACGTGCATTTTTTCGAAAGTAATTTCTAACATCATTTCATCTTCCTATTTCAAAATTTTCAAATTAAACAGAAACCAAAGCGAAAATATAGTTAAAATAATAATGATAATATTCCGAAAATAATCGTTACTATTGTCTACCTTATATATGCAGATTATACAGTTAATTAAATGTGTTTATTAATGCACAAATCGACTCAATAATCGACACATCTCATGTCTATAAATCTTTCCATTAGAATAAATCCATTCAAAATTAAACTAGAGTAAATAAAAAATTAAGTTGTATTATCAATTTTAACTAAGATAAATATTACTATTTAACAAGATTCGATACATTTCAGAATTGTTGGCTTGTCGTCTGCTGCCTGTTGTTCACCGCGGACTCGCCTGCGCAAGGTGAGAGCTTCCATCGAAACTGACTGATAATCCTGACCGAAACTAATCAAAACAGGAATCTATCACTGATTCGACAATCGAAATTATCATCCAATCTTTGAATTAAATTGAGGAACAAATACATAAACTTGCAAACTTCCATATATTTCTAATTGCGATTACATGGACGTTTGGTGATAGTTTTTCTGTGATATTCAGATTGACTGTTAAATCTTCCATTTTGCAGGTTTTTTCAGCATTGGCATTGACCTATCAAAGTGTGGCATCTTTGGTGGATTGTTTAGACAACCTGCTCCTCCACCTCCCCCTCCTCCTCCTCCCCCTCCCCCTCCTCCTCCTCCCCCGCCTCCACCACCAACAACCACAACTACATCTACTACCACCACAACTACACCAACGACCACCACCACTTTACTTACGGCCGCTCAGCCTGCGGCCAGGGCCCTTCTACCTATGGTGGACGGTTCTGCACAAAATCCGAATGGGAATTTACTGTGGAAACCAATGTTCGGTAATATAGCACCATCCGCCTATGGGTCGTGGCCATTCGTCAATCAGTACTACATTCCACGATACGTCCCAGGCCAGTTTATTAATATGCCTGGGAATAACTTTGTTGGAATTAGGCCACCAACATACGGCATGGAACAGAACAATCAAGGAGGTGGTAGTGGAATCTATGGCCCTTATGGTTACAATGGCCTGTACGGCACTTACCCAAATGACCCTCGTTTGTATGGAGCACCAAGCATGTATCCCCAAAGCGCCAACCCCGGGGGCAGTGGAACTTCAGTTGGACAACCTAATTCAGGAGATAACACCGCTTATAATTTCAATGCCGGTCGAAGCAAAGCAACTGAAGTGCCACCCAGTGAAAACTCCTTGGGTTTGGGTTCACTTGCTGGTTTTAACAAACCAGTGACACCAAATGAAGGGTTAGGAGATCCTCTAGACAGTTTAAAATATCAATCCATCTTAGACGGATGGAATAAGAGACTCAACTACACTACGTTCGCTTTGTCTGAAGCAGGAGCAAGTGGACCAGGAAACCCAGAGAATACTGCAGGAGCTTTGCGCTCCCTTGGAGATGCTATAGAACAGACTAAAACGAAAGATAGTTTTGTCGCTCCCAACTTCAAACAAAATCCGAATTGGTACCAAATGAATTCATTGGATGGTAACGTTAGGGATGAAAAAATTCAGCCGGAAGTTAACTTGGCTCGGAGAACTGAATCTTACGTAGTGCGTAAGAGCGGCAGCCAAATCTATACCGCCATCCTCTAGACCTAGCTAGAGAGTCAAGCTGGATCCAATAATTCAAGCTAATTATTAATGAACATTGTGCGCAACAGCTTGTTCTCATATGACGAAAACTTCTGGATTTATTTTCAGATTAATGATCGTCTTTAATTAATTTTAATTTTAATGATTAATTTTTTCGTTCAAGGCTAAAATTTTCGGGTGATTGACTCATGAATATTTATGTGCATTGGTGTTAAGTTGCCTCATATGCTTCTTTAAAATCGAGAAAAAAAATACATTAAAAATTGATTTGCTAAAATCAGTGAAAAATAAGATGTATTTGTTTGTATTGATCATAAGCATATTTGTACAATATGCTTATGAGTGAATATGAGATTTTATTAATGAACGACGAAATAAAACCAAGATGTTCAATTTGTAATATGTGCATTACTTGTAACCTTAGTTCAACTCGCGAGCAGTCCTGTGTAATGTACCGACGAATAGCATTGACGACTCTTCGTGTACTGAAGACACGACGTAGTTTTGTGAGTGTGACGCCCGCATCACTGGTAAGGGTAAGGTTAATGACGAGTGGGGCGCGGGAATACTTTAATAAAAGTAAAAAAATACTTCATCTCTAGTGTAAACAGTTTTCTATAAAGATCATTCGGATAATCGTTTCAACCTGGAAACAAAGAAGGGGGAAGAGTGCACGAGTTGAGGCGCACTGTATATAACACACCTGTGGTCAAGTCGTGAAGCTCAGTGTGGTGTTCTCGGAATAAGATGTTTATGTTCGTAGCCGCAAGCATTACATCTGCCCAAATTGCGTTTGTGGCGCTTTAAGAAGGAAACAGGGAGCTTACTACATATAATTTCTGGTAATTCATTCCCAGTCACAAATACCAACGCCTTAGCGATGATTGTAATAAATGCAATGGTCAATGCAATTAGAGAATGCAAAAATATTTTCTTAATTAGGCAGTAATACTACCGATAAAGCTGCACTATTTAGGTACGGTTGTGCGGAGTCAAGTTTTAACGTGTATGAAATCGTAAATTGTTCTTAATGGAGAATAATAAATTAAGGAAATTAAGGAACCACATGTGTTCACAAAGAGATATCCTCTGACATCTTTGTTTTATTAGTCTCATTGAAATTAGGAGCTCCTGTAGAATAGTGCATAACCCATATAGCAAATCAAAACAATCGTCCAAGTTTGTCTTCGTTTAGCATTTATGTGTGATTTCATTATTCTGAGTTCATTACAATTTAGATTTTTGCGAGACGGTACAAACATTGAGGTCGGAATCTTGTGCTAGTCCACTTGAAGCCTCGCTATCGATAGGCGCGGCGAGATGCATGAGCGGCAAATCGATACGATCTCATCATGCAAGGACCAGAATTTTTTGAAGACATTAAACCAGCTATTTTAGTAATGATCGCGTTAACTGTTAAACCTTACTGAGAGAAATCAACAGCAACGGGTAAACATTAATTTTACTAGGAACGTTTTATTCAAGACGGGGAATCGTGGATCTGGAAAAAGAAATAGGTTTCTAAGAGAAGTGTTGCATTATTTTACAGGCTAATTAAAACATGAAGTTGATAGAGATGAATTTCATATTGCGTGTCTCGTAATTTTGAATGTCGACATCACAGCAGCATTATTTTGGTCCGTCATCCGAGAAGCATCAGGTGTCGCTTATCAGTACGTGCACTTTGTTATCTTTCAGACGAGGTCATGTGTACCAGAGCAATTATTTAGTAGGCGTTATCAGCACTAACGTACAAGGAAAACATTACAAAAATTCCAATTTACATTTGGTTTAGTTACAGCTACAAACAATAATAAATTGCGGCCTAATTTGTATTAAACATATGACAATTGTGAAAACTTGCTAATTTGAAATTTCACCGCCTTCTCTGCTAGAGGAACTGAAAAAAGGATAAAGCCTTGAACATGATCAAGATAAGATAAAAGGTATTCTTGGTCATTGCATCAGAACTTACCGCGTGCATATTCGGTGTGATCCAGAGAAGCTCTACAGTCTACACTTCTGTGATGCGCTGGTGATTGTGCACCAGTAGTTCCTAGGCTATCGAAGTGTGTATATAGAGCCTTTCATACTGTACTTGATGCGTATAAAATTGTTATCGATAAAATTTTATCTTGACATTCACCATCAAGTTTTTCATCACATTTGTTGTACAATCCAGTTAAAATAAAATATTTAAATGAATTTTTAAGGAAGCCTGTGTAGATTTTTGCCCAGTATTTATAATGCGATTTTAGAGATCTTCCGAAGAAGCTTAAAAGCGTGAAAACATATAAAAACAACATTTACTGTGCATCGAGAAATCATTCTCAATTTGGGCGACAGGGAGAGAATATTGAGGAAAACTTTTATCTCAACCTTACTGAGCTTAAAATTTAGAACTAAAAGCGAAATGAGCGATCAAAACGCGTGTTGTTGCATTCACTACAGAACAGCTGGGATCACCGCATCCCTGCTCTCGCTTGTGAGTTTTTACAAGTTACCCCTAGTTATGAATTACTAAGTTACAATTATTAATGGCTTAATTTGTTACATATGGATATATGAATATAGCTTAGTAAGTTAAACTTCCATTTGAATTAGTAAGTAACACTTGATAATGGCTTAGAAAGAAACCCTTAGTTATGAATTAGTGAGTTACAGTAAGTAATGGCGTAGTAAGTTATTAGCAATGGCTTGTTTCGAATTGATTTTTACATTAGGATGATTGTGGTAACTTGACTATAATAAAGCATCAAGCCATTACTCGGTGTGAATTGCTATAAATGTAAATGAAACTTCTGACCAATTCTCCGTATAAGAAAATTACTAAATTATGTTGGAACCGTATACTTCTTATTATTAGAAATATCAGCCGTTAGATTTTCCCTTCTATTTTCCTCCATCTGCTCCCAGATGGTTTTATGAATAACCATTATTACTGTACACTAGAAATTGAAAATGAATATCATGCAACAGCCAAGGAAAGTAATTTACTATATACTGTAGGTGCAAAAATTTTCGTTGCTGCTGAAGGATGAGGTACGTAGAAGTACCGTTCATGAGGTACGTAGACCGTAGGTACCGTTCGTAGGTACGTAGAAGTACCGTTCATACATTAATAGACTCTAATAATAGTTTAGACTGGACTGTTATAATCTATGTTGATGTAAAATATTTTAAAATTCATTTTGATTTTCAGATAGTCACACTTTGCTGTTTTCTGCAGTTGGGGATAGAAGAAAACTGCACGAACGGTGAGAATTGGTGCCGATATTTTTCTCGGTGTTGACGTATTTATAACAGAGTATTCATGTTAACATTCAAACATAAATGACGACGACTAGTTTGGAGTATCTTTTATCATTATCTTTGATGATTATTGATGATGTTTCAATAAACTCATATATGTACAAGAAAATATGAAGTATTTTCTTGTAAATTTGTTCTCTTTTTAGATGCATGGCGAATCATGCTGCTTGTGATGACAAGTTTGTGCATGCCGAACGCAACATGCATGCTCTACTATGGAGTCATGAAGGTATTTACACATGCATCGAACAAATTTATTAATTCAATGCTTTACTATAGAATCGTGAAGGTAATGACGCACGCTCAATGCGACCTGCATGCCATACTTTGGAGTCATGAAAGCATATTGTCATCTCTGACGATAATCGGCAACTGATGTCACATATGTACATAGTATATATAGTCGGCATTCATTACATCATCCATCTCAAATGAAAGTGTACTCTGCAAATAATCAGGAACAATTATCATTTATCGTTCACGATAGCTCTCAGCACAGAAAATACCTAGACTGAAAAGTGATTGGTGCCATAATGTCCCCTCCCTGCCTCCCGTATATGCGGCCGTGCCTGCCAAGGCAAGTAGCAGGTGCCTGATACGTGCCTTCCTCGGTCGCCCAACGACCATTAGGGAATTTATCTGATTCTTTTCAGGCTCTAATTTCGTCTAGAAAAACGTAGCGAAAAACGGATGCAGAGCCGCTAATTTACACGCTGGGTTGGCCTATCCTGTACATACGGCGGCAGCTGATAATAAAGACAATTTTGAATTAGCCTATCTTAAAAATTAAAAAGGCTTTTGATTGCGAAGGCTCGATAATTCCGTTGATTAACAGTGCTGTTTTCGTGTTGCATATTTGTCATTAAAATTTTGTTACTATTAAGCATTCTCAATTAAAGTAAGGGTATACTAGTATTAGATATTATTTCTAATCAATATTTACTATTATGCAGGATAAGCCACATCTGCTCAAGTTCTACTTCGGTGTTGCCGTGATGATAGCATTGCTGTATTTGCTCGCGGCAGCTCTCACCCGCGAGGATCAAACGTGCACAATGATAATCTATGGCCCCATCATCGCTGTCCTGCTGCTGGTGTCAGCAGGCATCGTGTGGAGGTGCTTCTTCATCATGGTCAGTAGCCGCAACTTCTGATCGATCAGGAGCTGTCTTTCAGAATTTTTTTACTTGACTCTCCCTTACAATTGATTAGAGAGGGACGCGTTCTTTTATTTTCTACTTATTATGTGACTGGTCGTATATTACAAATGAACGAATGATAGCGACATGTTGCGCATCTATAACCTGGAAATAACGCATTTAAAATGTGATCAAGAACCACACTTGACTGATGCGTCGATCGGCATAATTAATTGGCCATGTAACACTGATAGAGTAATTTTGCTGTTGTCATCCTCTAATCATGTATACATCATACATGTCAAATATTTGCGTCTCTAGAGTTTCGCATGCATTCAATCAGACGCGTCAAGTGTCATAACGTTCACAAGTAAGTCGTTGTCAACGTTTACGAGTCAGTCATTGAGAGTGTTGCATATATTTCTTTGGCTTTACAAATTGGCATATATTTCTCTGGCTTTCAAAATTCTCTGGCCCTTCTTTCAATGACAGGATAGACATTAATGATGATATTATTTTGCATAATATAATACTTGAAATGTTGAAGGCTGATAAAATTTCATTTCAACGATTTGAAACAAATACACTAATTTAATTTCACATAAGGGATTGGCTGTATGGATAGGAATATGTCCTATTAAAAATATGTAAATTATGGGAAGTTATCAAGCTCCTATTATGTCCAGGACGTCTCGTCTCGTTTCTATATCGTCCCTGATTTCAACTGAAACTTGAAAATTGTTTCGATTGTTATAACTAATGTAAATAAATTGTAATCCTTTAATTTGTTATGTTTTGTAGGTGATGTATGTGGACATAAATCTGGAAAAACCCTATGATTCAATGAGTTAAGTTAATTTTATTGACTTGAAATTTAATGCTGAACGTTTCGTTGCCTGCTCGATCTCACGAAAGTATTTTGCGACTTAAAACATTATTTCAATTTAGTCATTCGGCTCTTTAAATTTGTTTGACATTTGATTGATATATGTATTAATCAATAAATTCCACAGGTCAAAGTCACATCGAATACCAATTCTGCACCAGAATCTCCACCGGCAGTCCCTGATTCGTCCGGTTCATTGGGTGGAGATAAAGTTGGAGACGATCCCCCGTCTTACCGGGACGTTGTGTACCTCAGGTCGTTTAGTTCACCGCCAGAGAAGTCTTCCTCTGTCTTCACAGTGCCTATGCCTCACGAGAGTTATATGCCTTATTCCTACGGGAGTTTGAACACACTTCCCCCGGCCTACCACTTGGCCGTGTCTCAAATGTCCAACGAAACAAATACATCTCCCCCGAGTGACGTCATACTCCGTCCGTCAGACATCACTCTTCCCTCGCAAGTTCCTGCCGGAAATCTTACGACTCTCTTCAACAGTTCAGAGTCGCCGCAGTCTGCCATACATGTTCAAAACACATAGCTTTAGCATATCGATATTCCTTGCTGTTTGACAGTGATATTAGTTATGCATTGGGATGCAGGCTTGTTAAAAAATTTTATCTTTTGTTTATCATTATAACTGTAATAAGTTTGGTATGGCCTATTAATTAAGAACTAAGACACAATTTGTATATGGTTAAAAATGTATTGTTCCTATTGTTGCACGTCCATTGGCATCTTCATAAAAAGAAGCTGCAAATTTATGCTTAGAAAGTTCAACGCCACGGTTGCATTGATATCATAATAATATATATAGAAGCCAATGCTACTACTTAAACTTCATGCCTCATATTATCATATTGTCATATGTTATCTCATATTTTTATAATATTTGGTGTAGGATAATTCCATCTGTCAAGCGCTTGCCGCCAACGAATATAATTTTTTACTGCATTAGACTGAGCGAGATTTAATTTCTCATTCGAATCTCATTGTTGTATTAGACTAATTAGAGACTGTTAAAATGTTAATTCTGTCTATGTCAGTATGAGAAGGGAAATTTTCTATATTATTTTGTAAAATTGTGAAATTAGTAAATAGAATATTAATTGGAGATGCCATGACAATGCTATTTCATGAGAGTGACTGCAACGTTTCAAGTATAATATGTATTTGCGATAGAAATATTAAGATTTATAATATATAATTTCTCAATTTTAAATTTCTTTACAGTCCAGGGGCACCAATTGATTAGGTCACGTTTCAAGAGTTTCAATTAGGTTCTGTGGGAATTTTTCATAACAAATCAAAGGCATGCGAGTCAAAATGAAACAGATTTCAACTGAAATACATTGCGAAGGAAGTATCATTACCTAACTTCAACAAAATATCCGCTATCCGTGATCCCATGGGCCATATCATGTACGTTGTACGTTTACCGTACAGCGTCACCACGTGGCTGTGCTACGAAACGGCCGTAGGCTGCCCGTACGCACGACAATACCACAGACTATAAGCACGACCGACATATGTTGAATTGTTGATTATCCTTTAACAGCAGCCGGCAGTCTTCGCCGCATCGTTGTCATTGTATTCTCACTTCAACAGCAATCGCATGTTCATCAATTTCATTCGTAGTTCTCTTTTCATTGGCTTCTCCAAACGTCCCAAACTCGCCTCATTGTCCTCAGCTCCAGACAATAACACTGAGCCAACTCGTTTATCACAAATTTGTCGATGGCCCTAATACAGTAAATGGCTGTCTTCAGGTCTCCGATAGGCTTCTAATTTCAGCAGAAACGGTACTTCTAACAATAACTTTTTTTGGTTTTCTCGGCACTTGCTTCTAGGAAAATACCTTGCTGTAGATTGTCCTCAGGGCTACTTCAATACGACGCTTGACGCCAAGATCGGAGCAATTTTATACCCCGTCCCTGTCTACTGTATAGTGCAGCCTACTGCCTAAAGAAGACGCCTCAATGTTAAATATCCCTCTATCTCTTGGCTATATTACAGTACACAATTATTATGCAGATACAAAACTTGACGCTTGTTGATTTATTGCGTGATATGTTGCATTGTTGTGAGTGGATGTTTTTCTACTTCACCTAACAACTATAATTAATTTTGAGCATTCACTGCCCTAGCTAGTACGAGTAAACACTTGGGTAATTTAAGCCATAGAAGACTGGGCACTTTGTCTCAAATTCTATTCGTCCAGTGCCTTGTAAAGGATGAATGTAAAATTATATACGAAATGTTTTTGGGTTACCGATTTTCTCTTGACTCGACGTGTTATTTGTGAGAATGAAGAGATCAGTGACGAAGCATGCACTAGCGCCATGTGTTGTCCCTCCTCCTATAAATGATTTGACCCGCTGGGTTTGGTGAACCCGATCACTGGAAGGGGAAGAATCTGATGAGAGAAGGTAAAGCTGACATAGAATGATAGCTTACCATGCAGAGGAGCTTCATATGACTTGGGTTCGTTGATTGGCAAGATTTGAGCCAGGTCTCGAAATATCATTTTGAGCGCAGTGCTCTTGATTCTAACAACGATGTTCCTTCGATCATCTTTACAGAAGCAGGGAAGATAAATCCACGGATTTAACATGTACACCGTCTGCGGAAGTGGCAATGGTAAGATACCTAGATTTGATAAGGATAGAAATTCATAAAATTGGGAATATATGTAGAACCGTTGAAGATTTCATAAGCCGACGGTTTGAAAACAAGCGGGTATACGACGCCCCGCGCGGGTAGCGAATGGGGCTATAAAAGGAGGGAGGTAGTAGGAGAAGCAGCGCAGAGTGAAACGGCCAGCGTGCCGAGTAACATCGTTTCCTAATTTGTATCAGATGATAGAAAATCGATAAATTAACGTAATCATTTTAATACGGAAGTTGAAATTCTGATTTAACCTCGTGGCAACGTTAGAAGTGATTAAAGATCTCGAACAGAGTTAAAGATTAGCGAGAATTAGGAAGTCTTAGACTTTATAACAAACCTACAAACCAAAGTTTTATTCAGATTGTTATGCGGTAAAAAGGCGCAAAATAAAGTTCAAAGTAAAAACTCTCAATACCTCAGAGTTGTAGGCAATATTTCACACTTATAAATGTTTGATGTATTCAATTGTTTCTCTAGAATGTTTATTTTGCAGTGGTAAAAAATTGTATTTATAATGTATTTCTAAATACAAATTGTATTTCTAAATTGTATTTATAATTGTTTATTTTGCAATGGTTTCCCAAAAAGCAATTTCCTAGATATCAAGTAAAAAGATATAATACAAAAATATTTTCACTAATAATAGAGTCAAAGGTATATTTGATTTTCAGCAGGCCCTGAAGGATGAAATTGATTTGGAATGCTCGTTCAAGTTCGTAAATTCTAATTTAAATCTAGCAGACATGCTATACCAAGGGGAGCTACCAATCAAGATTTTGATAAGAAATTCGATAGACTTATTTACGTGACAGACTCTTGTTGACGCGGCGCATGCCGGAGGCCAGCTTTGCCATACTTCACACTTCGTTCATATTTCTTTCTATATGTAAGAACGCTAGAGCGCATAACGGCCTATGAAGTCAAGTGCTCGAAGCCATAGCGCCGGATGTCCACAGCCACAAAATAGGCTTGCCAAAGGTAAACATGGCCATACTGCATCTGGCCAAACCTCATCTGGCCTAACCTCTTCAGGCCTAACCTATACGAGCTGCAACCTTTCTCCACCCAAAACAAACCTTAGGCCTGCCTAACCTAACCTCATTGGCTGCAAGAAGTTAGAATGGTGGTCCAAGTGTGCTGGTAGAGCCAGTCATTGGCTGCAGGAAGGTCGTGAGCCGGGACAGCGTGAATAGGTTAGGCCGGAGTAGGTACAGCCGGATGGGGAACTGCCTGCTTATGAGCGAGCATGCTTAAGCATTGGCTGAAGACCTACGACGCTATTATCTTTCAGCAGTGTGTCACTTGTCTGAATTACGGAGTTCAAGCGTGGTCTGCGGCTTCTAGTTCTGAGGCTGAGTAAAGTTAATGCATGGTGAAGCTAGGCGTTGGCTCCAGGGCTTATTTAGGAGTAAAATTTGTGGCCTACGGCTGCGCCCCCTGGTCGACTACCGAAGCTGACCAGCAGTTTTAATTGTCATGCTAAGACGAGACGTTTCCGCATTTAGGCAGATCAAAAAGTTCACGTTAAGGAAGAAATCAAATTTTTTGTAGTACCGTTAAATCAAAGTTTGTCCTCAGCCTTGCCAGAGATTTAAATTTATTATTGCATGAATTTGGCGTGGTTTCCTCCCGAGGCAGACTTAGCCGATGTTAGCATTTGTAATGACGTAATGATTAGAATTTGAATTTATAGCAAGAGTCATGCCACAAAATGCTAACTGTCAAATATAATCTAGAATGTAAACATTTGAACATTGGGGCGTGATCTCAACTTTGAAAGCTCGGAAGAATCAATGCTTTGGTTGCCTCGAGTCGAGGGCGCCCACTATCAAAAGAGTGCTCAAAGTGTGTGTACTCATTAATAAGTGCAAATAAGGTACATTTTGCGTGCATTCAAATATCATACTGAAAGCCGGAAGACATTCGTAGCGACAAAGTGAACATGATCAGGCCATTTGACAATGTGGTAGTGGATTTTACTGACCATTTCTGATCCATGATCAGTAATCTTGCATGACATGATCCTGCATTAAAATTTGCCTGATAACGTTCACATGCCTTAAGAGTCATTCTTCTTGAATAAGTTTTGACATGTCGACCCGTTCTTGTCTAACTTCCTCCATCCATTCCACTAACGGGTTGAGATTCCCCACATAATGATGATGATAAACAGTTATAATTCCCTAACTATGAATAAAGCTGCAAAATTACTAAACAGTAGAATAGCGTTTTGGAGCATTTTAGAGTCAAAAAGTGTCAGCCCTTACGAAAAATAAACAAACTCGCTATCACGGTTCTCTACTCCGACTCTGCGAACAAGTCACATATCCTGTCTATTATTGCCTAACATAGCTCAGTTCTTCACAAATGTATATGAGGCATCTTTGATATTAAAATATAAACTGAAGTCAGAATTGCCTCTGCTTTATTCATTCCGAGTGGTGGTCGACTCATCAGTGATAAATTCGATTCATAGCTTTGTGCCACCTGAAAATCAGTGTTTTCCGTACATCCATACTCATCAGTCACTAAGTTTATCTCAAAAACATTGTGTGAACCTGATTATCTATCCTCTATTTTGTGCGAATGAAATCGTTTTCGTTTTGTTTGGTTCGTAATAACCAGGGTTTATTTTCTTCATGTAGATAGTTGGACACAGTATTAGATTATTACCAGAATTTACACTATTTTAATCCGATTTATACCAGATTTAATTTCATATTGCATTAAACTTATATTAAATCTGTATTAAAATTTGTTAAGTCTGTGTTAAATTTATATCGAATCATTACCAAGTTTCTCATATAAAAATCCGTACAAATTATAAGAGAACATCATCGGCTTATATCAAATATACATATTCTAGCCTAAAATAGGGGTTGTTAAATTCGCGCTGGCAGTTTGTTATGCTAATATATATTGTGCCATTAATAATTTAAGTCCGTAATCCTCTTCCAATACGCAGTTAAGCTTCCACATATTCATGCTGTCCTCTCCCGTCCAACTTTCTACTCCTATTGCTGATTTTCTCTAAATTTATAAAACTATTATTTCATACATTGTATCATCATTTAGTCTAAACACGGGAATTAAAAACCTCAGGTTAGGTAAATAGGTGATGAATCAATTAGTTAAATATCACTGAAATTACCGCTTCATAAATTTTGCCAATAAAAATCATGATACTACTGCTGAAAATTTTGCTTTCTCTCTCTAGATATCTGCATTTTTGTGGTCCTGCTGTCGTCGCTCCTTTTCCCTCCTTGTGACGTCATTCTTTTCGTCACGTCCTCGTTTCATTGCGCCACGTCCTCTGGGTCAGAGATAATAAAAACGACACGATAATCTTGATAAGATAGATAGTTTTGGATGCTCAATAGTTGCAGCATGAATGTTTTTTGATTCGCGCAGTACATGACGAGGTGAGCCGCCGGACACTTCAGCACAGGGACGTATCAGTGCTAATTGGAAGACCGTGGTATGAAATACATCATTTCTTTCAACACACAATTTAAAAATATTTGCGCTACGCATAATAAGGAAGAATATACCCGAACCTGAATGACAACATATATTTAATCGTGGATAACTAGAAGATCAAAGTGATTTGTACAGTTGGACTCTAGTATAGAAATTCTTCTGTCGTTATTTGGTAATCAGATCCGCAAGTGCCATGAGTGCAAACAACGCGTGCTGTGTCATCCGCTACACGGCCGTTGGGAAGGCCGCAGTTGTCCTCACCTCGGTCAGTTTTTGCAAGATACAAAAACTGTGAGCATTAAGTAGAATGATTTTTGATAATGAGCGAAGAGAATGATAATGAGATGAGCGAGAATGATAATGAGATGAGTGAGAATGACAATGAGACGAGTGAAATGATAATGAGATGAGTGAGAATGATAATGAGATGAGTGAGAATGATAATGAGATGAGTGAGAATGATAATGAGATGAGTGAGAATGATAATGAGATTAGTGAAGAATTACGTTCATGAGTTTGGAGTGGGCGTTTAAACAAAAATTTCAAAGTTTAATTTTCACAGTCGGTTCTTGGCCCGTGAGATAATACTGGAATTTCCGCTGTAGGTTTTTTCAAACAAATGTTTTGAATTTTGAAAATTCCTTTAAAATTAGTAGGAATATTTCGTTATGCTATACAATATCCTTCCTCAATTCAATTAAATTCTATCCTTTTCAGATAGTCTCAGTTTACGCCTTCCTGCAGGTCCCTATGGAACAAAATTGGTGCAAAAGAAGTAAGAATTATTAATTTCGAAACTTTTCATTGATAATTTGAACAATCAAGCTGCACAATAATTAAAACAAATCTTGAATTTTGCGTCATTGAGATATTTTCCCATCAAATAAAGATATGTAATTTAACCAGACACTAGGAAAACGATCGAGATAAGAATGGTTCTACATTGACAAATAATTCTTGTTGTACACTCAGGTGAATGGCCAACATTTCTGCTACTGGTCATAAGTCTGAGCTCAGGGTACGCGGCCGGCGTGCTTTACTACGGAGTAAGAAAGGTAATCACTAGTCAGGCTATGCTAGTAGAAATATATAAGAAATTTACTACGGGTAACGAAGGTAATCACTAATCAAGCAACGCTAGTAGCAATATATAAGCAGTTTACTACTGAGTAACGTAGGTACTAACTAATCAGGCCATGCTAGTAGAAATATATGAGCAATTTACCATGGGGTAACGAAGGTAATCACTAATCAAGCAATGCTATTAGAAATATATAAGCAATTTAATACGGGGTAACGAGGATAATCACTAATGAGGCACTGCTAGTAGAGATATATAAGCAATTTACTACGGGGTAACGGAGGTAATCACTGATCAGGCACTGGTAGTATAAATATATAAGCAATTATTCGTTGTAATTGCGGTTGCCACCGTGACTTTTTACTTCTTAGTTTTCATTACATTTATCTTTGAACCCACATTTGACTTTAAAAACGTATAACTCTTAAAAACTTTTTAACTTTAAAATTCATACGATTTTTTAACTGCTGTTTCTTGATAAGTAGTATATAGATATATTTTAACGTTAAAATTGCTACCAGAATTCCGGTTTTTGATCACTTGCTCCGGTTTTCGGTTACGATTTTGTGTTTTATTTGCATTGTCGTTCCAGACCGAGGCATTATTTCTCAGGTTGGTGTTGGATTCAATTGGGAGTCGGTTACTTAACATGAGACGTTATGACTCCTAAACAAACTCCAATTCATTTCATATCTAACTCCCTCTATATATTTGCAGGAGAGACCGAACCTGCTCAAGGTACACTCCTGCATGTGCGTGGCGATATCACCGCTGTGTTTGCTCACTGAAGTTTACAGCCGTCACTCTGAAACTTGTTCTCCGAATGTCGTAGGGATGACCATCTCCTTCCTTCTGCTGCTGCTGTTAGCCGGCATCGTGTGGAGATGCCATTTAATTATGGTCAATTGACGCTATTTCTCAATCATGAGTAGTCTTTCTGTATTCGATTATTGGCCCTAAATGAAATAAGTGATTAGAGGGGTTCTTTTTCGTGATGGTGACGAGCTCTCACACTTTCTACTCCAGATTTGACCGTTCAGAAGCACTAGAATGATGTGGTGTACTCAGTTCCATTAGCCAGACCAGTAGTGAGGCTAATACCTTTACTTGTGATGGCATTAGCTCCACTAGTGATGTCAATGGTGGACCAACACAGACATTACAATTAAATGTCTAAATAATACCATCAATGGATCGAGCAATGTGCATTTATAAAACAGAAATGACTTGTCATAATACGAACAAGAAGCCTCCCAATACCGACGAGAAGATTCATTTCCTAAAGTGCTACAGAACCTAAGACCACATAACATATCAATGAACATCTTTTAATCTTATGATTGTGACTAAATAAGAAATGATTATGCAGATTCATGTGCCTCTTAATTGTTCTTTTCAATTGAGCCCGGACAGCGAGACGAGAAACGCCCTGGAAGAAAATACCGGGAAAACTCAAAATACTATTTGGCATAAAGTTAGATATCGGCAAAACGTTCCCAAAGCTAGATGTTGTTTCCCGGATACTCTGACACGTTACGAGACAATTTATATATAAATTGANGCTCCAAGTATGAACGCGTTCAAGAACAGACTAGATAAAGCTATGGAAAAATATATGTTCAGATTTGAAATGCCTAGCTCCTTATCGAACCCGGTGGAAGTCTAGTAGCTACTTCAAACTATCGCCAGTCATGAAGAGATCCTGTCAAATGACACGAGTTTAGATCTATGAACAAGGCACGAAATGGAAAAGAATCGGCGACAGGCCACATCAGGCCTACACTTCAGAGCCGACATCACTATGTTATGTTATGTTATGTTATTAAGAGTTAAGACATAATTTGTATCATGGTTAAGAGTTTATTGTTACTGACTGTTGCACGTCCATTGGCATCTCCGCAAACAGAAGCTACAAACAAACTTGTGCTTAGAAAGTTCAACGACGCTGTTGCGTTGATTTCAGAATAATATACAGTGGCCCGGTGGGTTCAAAAATTTCTCGACACAAAGGAAAAACTTCATTTAATTAAAGCTTATTTGCAATTTTTTTAATGTAAGGTTCAAAATAATAAAGTTTTCCACCCACTGTATATATATGCCAATGATACTATTCAAACATCGTGCCACATATTATCATATATCTTTATTTTAAGCATCGACGGTGAAATTGAAAGTTTCTAATATTAGGTAAAGATGTTTATATAGTATTTAGTTGGAGATAATCCAATCTGTCAAGCGCTGGTCGCCAAACAAATATCATCTTTTACTGCATTAGACTGAACGAGACTTAATTTCTCATTAGAATCTCATTGTTGTATAAGCGGTTGTTAAAATGTTAATTCTGTATACTGTATGTTAGTATGAGTTAGAAGGTAAGTTCTCCGTATTATTTTGTAAAATTGTAGAATACTAATTAATTTATTAATTAATAATTTAAATAGTAGAATAATATTAAATAGAATATTAATTGGAGATATCCTGACATTGACATTTCATGCGAGCGACTGCAGCGTTTCATGTATAATGTCTTTATGATAAAAATATTAAGGTTTTTAAAACCAAATATCTCAATTTTAAATTTCCCTCCAGTCCGAGAACACCAATTGATTAAGTCTCATTTCAAGAGTTTAAATTAGGTTCTGTGGAAATTTTTCATAGCAAATCAAAGGCATGCGAGTCAAAATGAAACAGATTTCAAGTGAAATACACAGCGAAGGCAGGATCATTGCCTAACTTCAACAAAATATTCGCCACAAACGTGGCAAATAGCACCAACATAACATTGATCACTTCACCCATTGCACTTCATTGTTCCCCGAAATAGTGAAACCAAAGATTTCATTGTTTTCTAACATTACAGAAGGCATTTAATCTGTGGTGAGATTCCATAGGCGACGTACGTACGTTGTACGTTGAACGGTTACCGTACATCGTCTTCACGTGGCTGTGCTACGAAACGGCCGTAGGCTGCCCGTACCCACGACAATACCACAGACTAAGCACGACCGTCATATGTTGAATTGATGATTATCCTACATATAACAGCAGCCGGTAGTCTTCGCTGCATCGCTGTCATTGTATTCTCACTTCAACAGCAACCGCACTTTCCTCATCAATTTCTTTCGTACCTCTCGTGGCAGTGTCTTTTTCAAACGCCCCATACTCGAATCATTAGTTGTCCTCAGCTACAGGCAATAACACGGAGCCATCACGTTTATCATAAATCTGTTTATGGCCCTATTACAGCAGCGGGCTATCTTCACGTCTCCGATAGGCTTTTAATTGACATAAGCGGTTCTTCTAACAATAGCTTTCTTGGTTTTCTCAGCCGTTGCTTCTCGGAAAGTCCCTTGCTGTAGATTGTCCTCAGGGCTACTTCAGGCTACGACGCTGAACGCCAAGATCGGTGCAATTTTATACTCCGTCCTCGTCAACTGTTTAGTGCAGCCTAAAGATGACGCCTTCATATTAAATATTCCTCTATCTCTTAGCTATATTACGGTACAGAATTATTATGTAACTACAAAATTTGACGCGTGTTGATTGGTTGCGTGATGTGTTGTATTGTTGTGAGTGAAAATTTTCTACTTCACCGTAACAACTACAATGAATTTTGAGCATTCATTGCCCTAATTAACTTATACGGGTAAATACGTGATTTATTTAAGCAATAGAAGATTGGGCACTTGTTCACAAATTATATTCCTTCAGTGCCTTAAAAATAATGATTGTAAAATTATATGAAAAAGTTTTGGGTTACCCATTTTTCTTGACTCAGAAGTGTTATTTGTGAGAACGAAGAGTTCGGTGACGAGGCATGCACTAGCGCCATGTGTTGTCCCGCCTCGCATAAATGATTTGACCCGCTGGGTTTGGTGAACCCGATCACTGCAGAAGGGAAGAATCTGATGAGAGAAGTTAAAGCTGGGATGGAATGATAGCTTACCATGAGGAGCTTCATATGACTTAGGATCGTTGATTAGCAAGATTTGAACCAGGTCTCGAAATATTATTTTGAGGGCAGAGCTTTAGAATGTTACTTTGCTCATCTTTACAGGTGCAGGAACGACAAATCACGGATTTAACACGTACACCTTCTGCGGAAGTGACGATGATAATATATTTAGATTATTATCCAGTAAAAAGGTGTAAAATAAATTTAAAATTAAGAACTCGCCAAACCTCAGAGTTGTCTACAATATTTCACGCTAATAAATGGTTGATAAATTCAATTGTTTATTTTGCAGTGGTTTCTCATAAAGCTATTTGCAGGATTTCTAATAAAGAGATAAAAACCAAAAATGTGTTTACTAATAATAGAGTTAAAGATATTTTTGATTTTCTTCAGGCCCTTAAGGATGAACATGATTTGGATTGCTAGTTTAAGTTCGTAAATTCAGATTTAACTCTAGCAGACATGCTACCGCGGGGAGCTACCAATGAAGATTTTGATAGTAAATTCGATAGACTAATTTATGCGGCAGGCTTGTGTCTACTGGCGAAGCTGACAAGGTTTAATTATTGCCATGCGAAGACGAGACGTTTCTGTATCTAGGCAGAGCAAAATGTTCACTTTGAGGAAGAAATCATATTTTTTGCAGTGCCATTAATCAAAGTTTATTCTCATTCTTGTCAAATATTTAAATATATTCTTGAATGAATTCGGTGTGGTTCGTTCTCGAGGCAGACTCCCGATGTAAGCATTTGCGGTGTGACGTAATGAGCAGAATTTTAATTTATAGGAATAGCCATTTTACAAAATATTAACCATCAAATGCCACCTAAAATGTTAACATTTGGGTGCGAGCTCAACTTTGAATGCTCTGAAGAATCATGACTTTTGGTTGCCTCGAGGGCGCCCACTTATCAAAAGCGTGCTCAAAGTGTGTGTACTCATTAATAGGTACAAATAACTACATTTCGCATGCAGTCAAATATCAGAAGCCGGTAGAACTTCATAGCGACAAAGTGAACATGATCAGGCCATTTGACAACGTGGGATTGGATTTTGCTGGCCATTTTTTCGTTCAGTTCAGAGAATACTGCATTAAAATTTGCCTGATAACGTTCACATGCCTCAATTTAAGAGCCATTCATTATGGATAATTTTTGACATGACGACCCGTTCATGTCTATCTTCCTTCATCCGTTCCACAAATGGGCTGGGATACCCTAGATAATGATGATCATAGACTGTGATAAAGACTCAACTATCAATCATGTTGCAAAATTATTAAACTCTCCTTTTCCAGATGATTATGTATCATAATTTCTTGCCTGTCACAGCATTAAACATGTTCGCGTTCTCCTCTATAGCGCGTGATACGGCATGGGTGTGGCTTACTAAATTTGTTAAAGATTGTGGTATGAAGTGCGCCTTTTGTTTTTAATTACGTGATGCCACATACATTGGTTATGAAACTTCATGGAAAACTGAATTAAAAATAACGATTCAGTACTTGAATGTCGAAATTGTTTAGCGGACGGGACGGCTGATGCCGTTATACATTCAGGTGGTGAGATTTGACCACTCCACCTGAGAAGACGCCATTATATAGTCTGTTATTTTCATTAGAACTGGGCCTCTTTCCAGTTCCGTTGAATGAACCTGTTGAATCTGATGCAAATTTTACTCCCATAGCTCAATGTATAGGCAGAGTAGAAGGGCAACGGCCGTAAGTTTTCGTGCACGACTACGTGGCGATATTGATACGTGAGCTTCTACGTGAGCGGTCAAGTCACGTTCTATCACTTATTGCTCAACATAGCTCAGTTCTTCACAATTTTACGTAAGCCATGTTTGATATTAAAATATAAATTAAAGTCAGGATTACCTATGCTCTATTCATTACGAGTGGTGGTCGGCTCCATCAGTGATAAATTCGATCTACAGCTTAAAGTACCAACTGAAAATCAGTGTCTTCAGAATATCCATACTCATCAGTCACTAGGTATATCTCAAAATCTTTCTGCGAACCTGGTTCTCCGTCCTGTATGTTGTACGAATGCCCAATCATTTTTATTTCGTTTGGTTTGTAATAACTATAGATTTAATTTTTTCATGTAGATCGTTGGACACAGTATTAGATTTTTACCAGAATTTACACCATTTTATTCCAATTTATATCAGATTAAATTTCAATTTCATATTAAACAAATATTAAATATATGTTGCAATTTGTTAGGTCTGTGTTATATTTATATCGAATCATTATCAAGTTGTAACAATAAAAATTCATATAAAATTATATGAGAACATCATCGGATTATATCAAAAGCTGTAAAAGTAGGGTTTGCGAAGTTGTTAAAATTCTAGCCTAAAGTTGTGTTTGCGCAATTCGCGTTGGCAGTTGGTTATCCT